GACTCTATGTGCGCAGCCATTTTTATTTCTCATCTCACTCGGGAGTATTTATAATAACCATTTTCTGTTTCACATTGTTATTGTTCAATCCACAAGCTGGTGGATCAGATAATAACAAAGTGAAATAGAAAATGGTTGTTATAAATACTCCCGAGTGAGATGAAAAATAACCTGTCTTCGCCCATAGAGTCGCATCTCAAGCCTATTGACAAGCATTCTACCCCACTCCAGTTCATTGGGCCCACCGTGTTGCCATGCTATAACCTATCATGTGCCTGTCATTTCAAACATGTAGCCATTTTGTTTGGAATGCCTACTAACCTATTTATCTGAATAGATATTTTTATTTTTTTATGAATGTACAAAAGGGATTTTTCTAGCAATTAATATACTTTTCTTTATATTTTATATTATGTATAAAATAGATGGTATATATAGATGGTTTCATAATGACCCATACAGCACAAAGACATTTCACAAATATTTAAAAAATATTACATTGAAACATTTGTAATGTTATATTAATATTACGAAACAGACAGAAACATTTCTGAAATGTGCCTGAAACGTAAAAATGTCCTCTAAATATAATATTTCACAGTTATATTTCTGAAATAAAAATTTGAAATATTTTGAAATATTAAATAGTATCTAATATTTCAGAAATCTATTCTAGCTTTTTTTTTTTCTAAAATATTATTAGACTAAAAAAAACATTTATAAATATACATGTTTATTTAAAATACACAAAACTCAAACATTGATTCTTAAACAAACAAATAATTAATTTTTAAACATTATTTCATAAAATATAAAAGCAAATCGCTTAATTTCCACAAGTTCCTTTAAATGCACTTATCTGAAACAAATAGTTTTTTTTTAATAAATGCTCCAAATGAAGAAACATTTATGATTATTACAATCTGATCATTAAGATCAATTAGCAATTTTATTCTAATCTAACTTATCAAGGGACGAAAAACTTCATAAACTAATATTCTATTCACTAGTATACCTTAGAGTCTAATTATTTACACTACCGTTAACGAATAACACTTAACTACAGTATACTCTGCTTTAACATCACTGAACTAACTCAAAAGGGTTGGTTCTCTCGAGTCTTCTTATTAGATGGGCATTGTTGAGCTGGGATGTGCCGTCGTTGTTGGTGACTACTGGCAAATTTTTGTATTGTATTTTCAACAGTCTCCACTTTAAGGTCCCTATGAACATCAGTATTGTGGCAGTATATACCAGGGTCATCGACTATGTTCTTTAATACTTTATTCTGGAAATGTTAAATAACTTGGATGATACTTTTACTGGCACATCCCCAAAGCTTTCAAATTGCTTCATTTCCACGAATTCCTTTAAATGCAATAATCTGAAACACCTTATAGATCAATAAAAAGGATTTATACAAATACTCATGCCTAAATAAAACATGAAGCTCTGCTTTCAATCGGCTGTAAATCTAATAAATAAAACTGGTGTAGGACTCACCTCAATTTCTAATAAAGACATATTCTGCTTTCCATATAACAACAGCACAACGCATATACAGTGCAACCTCGATAATCCGAACACACGCTAATCCGAATTACGCTAATCCGAACATAAATCGTGATGCGAGATAGTCCGAACGCCGCCTCTGTAAACCGAACACTGACAGGAAAAGACCGGCATTACATTTACATACATACATATGTAGTTTGATAATGCATTTAAATGTACAAAAATCAATATACATACATGGATCTAAAGGTAGGTCTAAAAATGTGTAAGAGGTGTTTTATTGTATATTCGTTAATCCGAACAATTCGATAATCCGTACAAGGTCTGACAATTAGATGTTCGGAATAAAGAGGTTGCACTGTATAACAAAAAAAAGGAAATGGCAAAAACCGACAACTCCAATCTATATTTATTTAGAATATATGGTTCTCTGTCTGGTAGGCTGGACTAGAAATAAAATAACTACATAATTACATATCCCATCTTCTTCTTTTTCTTACAAATCAGAAATTCTTCATTAAATGTTGGCCTTTTACAACATAACACGTTTAGACACCTTTTGTGTAACATGTATACGATGTTTCAGAAACGTTTTCAGTGAAATATTTAACTAAAAATATTTCAGAAACGTGTGCTTGAAATGTTATATGTTTGAAACGTTTGAAATATTTCTGAAACACTTCTGAAATAATGTGTGCTGTATGGGGATATGCGAATATTTTAGGATGTGAATCAACATCTACAAAAATTATTGGTAGTTTGCTTTATAAACTATGGTCGTAACCGCTTGAGATATTTCAATGATGTTTAACACTCAGTGACAGTTAAAAATGGTATATATTTTGCAATACAAAAATAATTTTCATAACAGTAGCGTTATTTCTCAACATATTAAAAAAAATTAAAACCATTCTATTGTCCGAGAAAAACAATGTAATTATTGAAGAATAAAAAAATTTAACATTTGGGCCATAGTTTATAAATCAAACTATTATGAATTTTTTATGTAGATATACACCTTTAAATATTCGCATATCATTAAGGAACACCCCATATAATATACCTTATTTATTAATTAAATTTGAATTGTTACTTATTGGGGTCTATTCTGTAACAATTCCTTTATATTTAACGGCCTTTAAAAATATTGGCGGCCTATAAAAATATGTTCGTATTCGTTAATTTACTTCTCTCATTATTTAAACAGATTTCTTTAAGATAATCCTCTAATGTATTTTAAAGGTCCGTTTAAATAATGACAGAAGTAAAGAAGAAAATATTTTTAAAGGCCGTTAAATATAAAGGAATTGTTACAGAATAGACCCCATTGACCTTAACAAATAAAGGATGGCACAAAATTGATCGAAAACATTTGATCGAATGCATTTAAAAGGAACATAGTACCTTATTCTCGTAAAAGCCAGAGTAGCTTAAAATAGGATACGTGCGAGAAAATTGGGTTATAGATATTATCATTGTATAAGTAGTCATATTATTTATTAGTTGTCGTAAATAAATAATTAAGGATTTTGAATTTAATAAGAATGCAATGTTTCTTTAATAAAATGGAATTAATAAATTATGAAGGTACCTGGGTGTGGTAGGTTAGACTACTTGTGATTAATCTTAATTTTTGCATACACGGCTCAAATAGGTAATCCTTCTTAATAGTTTTTTAGACAATGGTAAAAATGAAAAAAATCTTCGGCGAATTTTGCGTGATGGCAACGTCATGCGCCCGCATGACCTGCTCATATATGGTTGCAACGGCTCTTAGCTCATCAAAAAACTTCTTCATAACGCGAGTTCTTTTACATTTAAAAATTTGACAGAACTAAAATAAAAAATCTTACATGACACTATATACACTATACCTTTTAAGTTCGTATGTCAAACTTCAAACAATTTTAAAATCATTGCTAACTTAGGTACCATAATTATAATAATTTTATTTATGAACTAATTCCTAAAATAAAATACGTAATTAAATTTATCTTGAAGCCACTACACAGATTATCTTCAATTAAATATGTTAACTGTAAACACTGTATTTCCCCTTTTACAAGAACAGCATCTGCTTAAAGATTAAGGAATCCAATATGGGAAATGTTAATAAATTGTTCAGATTTAATGTTACAGAATCAGTATTAATATTATCCTTCAACATTTTAAAACGGAAATATGATTGTGTTGATGTATTTATATTTTATTATAATTTTATTAACCAGCAGTTTTGGTGCAGCTACTAATAATAAAATTAATGAGGTAAGAGTTTCATAATTTTTGTAAGCGTTTTTGAATATTAAATTGTTCTGCGATCTAAAATCAAAAAATCAAAATACTCGTATACATTTAAAAAATATTCATACTGAATTTTTAATATAAAATATAAATAAACTTGAAATATTAGTGGCTTTTTACTATTTAAATTATTACAAAAGTTATAAAAACAATATTATTGAGGATTCAAAACTTTTTTTTGCGTACATATAGTTCTTGTGTATAAAGAAGTTTTCTTAATTTTTTTTTATTGTAGAAAAATGCTAACTGTGAAGATGGACCATTAGATATAAAAATAACGAAACAATTGGACATTCGAATTGGTGGGAAAAAATGGGATCACAATTTGAACGAATTAATTCAATCAAATATTCGCGAAGCTATTACATGTAAGTTAAAGTAACATTGGTCGAATAAAATTACATTATTTAAAAATATATGAGAACTAGAATTTAATTATTATTTTTAAAATTTATATACCTTTTTATATTTTGTAATTATAAAATACCTCGAGTATGAAACCTATGAAACCTCTTTAATTTAGAGTAAGCATCATCTCGTTTTGAATTGAATAGATAATAATTCAAAAGTTATAGTACTAGAGTGAAAAAAGTCCACACTATGTCCAAAATATGTGGCCAATCTCCCGGATTCAGAATGAACTCATAAAAAAAAATTTTTTTTTTCTACGACCCCCTTTTCGAAGATATCGTCCCATAATGGACACCTATGAATTTTTTTTTATAATTTTCAAAGTCCTTTAAATGATTTAATAATTTTTAAATACGATGGATATTAGATCACTCTACGTAAAATAGACCATTTTAAACACATTTGGCTTTTTTGCCAGGAACGGACTAGCTTTAACTCAATAATAATATTTTTGGACATCTTAAACCTTGAACAAAAAAAAAAATGTACTCTTAATTAATATCGATAAAATGACTTATTTTCGTTTAAAATTAGACCATATCTCATGTTATTTTTATGTGTTCTGTCCGGAAAATTGCCCACATATTGTGGGACCCCTTATTAACATTTTACTTCAAGTCCTGACTTCTGGAAACCCGAGTAAAAACATCAATTGCCAGGTAGTCATAAAGTGAGCTGAGCTCAATTTTTACTATTTGCTAAACTGCTCAGAGTGGTGCCCTACCTAATCTTTTTTCGAAAAAATATAAAAATATATAGAACTCCTTTTATAGCAAATCCAAAAAATACACCAAATATTCTCGAACCCACCCCTGAAATTGATGTTCGAAATGGAACCCCCGAAGAACCTAACGTTGTAATAGATTGGACTTCTGAGACAGATTCAAAACGTATTATCAACCAGTTGGACAGTATTACAAGTAAATTACAAAACGTGCAGAACGTTTGTCAAAAGTCTGAATGTGGGTCAGCAGGGTAATGTTTCTTGTTTGGCTTTTCAGATTAATTAATTACTTATATATCTATAATTTTTAGCAGTGTGGAAAACCTTAACGTCTATAACAGTGATATTTGTAACAGAGAAGTGGGAATAAGTAAACCACAATTTTGTGAGGTATTGGAAGAAAATACAGGCGTCAAGAAAAATTTAGCGAAGAACTGTAGAGAAGTTCAAGAAAGAGGTAAGTGAATAGGTTTTAATTTCTAAGTAAAGAGTGCACAGTGCACATTTTTAAAATAAGCTATGACTGACAAAGGCAGATATACGAGTCATAAGCCTCTGAATGAAATCTAAACGGCTTTTACGGAATTACTTGTTTTTGGTAAACCTTCTATCCCCGTCTGATAACAATTCACAAAAAAAAATCATCTTGGAATTTGCCAGTCAGGGAACTGTTTGTCGGGGAATTACCCGTCTCGTTGGGGAATTTCCCGTTGGGGAGTAGCGTTTCAGTCGGGGAATTTTCCAGTCTGGGAATTGTTGTCGAGGAATCTTTTGTTGGGGAATTTTAAATTTATTGCCAATTACATTTTAGACTTTTAAAATTTGTTACATTAACGATGTGTTTAAAAGACATCGGTGAATAAAAAAAAATGTTCGGTCTTGTAATATTTCTTTGGATGTTTTCGATAAAGTGTTAAATCATGTTTAAGTGCAGATCTAAGAATTTATTTTTAGATTATCAAGGCCAACGATTCAATATATCATATTGTAATAATAAATTATAAATGTGATATAATTTCGAACAAAAAAAGTCTGTTTAATATCCCAATATGTTATTAAATACAGAGTGGCCCACCATGATATTTGGCTGTATTCAATGGATTTTGTAAAAAATGCTGAACCTGGTCGATTGTTATTATACATTTTTACAATACAGATATCTGTCATGTGTCAACTCCCTGTGAATAAATGAAGATGACCCAGATAAGCAACTACAATTTTGTGAAATTATGACTGAAAAAATTTTTACTTTTTAATTAATATTTGTTTTACGGATGAATATTTTTTCTTTTTTGTAACATTGTACTGAAAATCGCCATAATTGTCGTTACTGTGCTGATGAAAATCATAAAGTATTTCATGAAATTTTTTATGAAATTAAACGTATGGGTATATCCCAAAAGTATCTTCGGTTCTGATCATTTAGACCGTATTTAAACACGGTTATTAGATAAAACAAACTTACTGTCGTTAGTTAGAATTTAGAATACAACCGGCAATTGCCGCCACATTGCCGCTTACAGCTATCTCTTTAGTGACAACTTATATAGTACCTATTTTTTTCTAAACCCACATGGACATTAACTTATCTACTAGACCGGGAGGTAACGACAGAAATTTCCGGGTCATTTTCGCAAGTTTAATTTTTTTTATATGAGTTATGCAAGTAATATGTAACTCTAATATGAACGTCTTCCGACGCACCCTTACGACAGGGGGTTGCAGGAGGGTTACAATTACAGTAAAAAAATTATAAAATATTTTCGCATGCATGAAAAACGTACACGTTAATTTAAACAAATAAAGTTTAGAAAATATCGTCTTCCACCTGAATTAGTCGATCTGGTGTGAAATGTTTGGTGTCTTCTTGTAAACATCTATAATGTTCTAATAGACTTGAATGAAATCGTTCCACTGGGGAATTTGAATTACTATTTTTTTGCGTTAGTGATATGTAGTTGGATATGGTGTAGTTTACAAAAATCTTTTAAATCGAAATTTTTTAATTCTGTTCCACTGTCGGTAGTAATTTTTTTTGTGGTAGTCCGTGTTGTGAAATAAATTCTAAGAGTTTTTCTACGACTGAAATTCCTGGGGATTTAGAGTCATCTTCCAAGGGATCCCTTACTTAAAATTATCAGGGGGGTGCGGGCCGTTGCAAATTTCACACTTGACGAAGGCGGGTCAATAGATTGTTTATCTATTAGTTTTGTTGTTAATAGATTTCAGTGCGAAGGGCGCCACATTACGGTTAGAAAAATGTTACTTGCAGAGGGTCAGGTCGTGCGCGATTAATAACTTATTTTTTTACTTTTTTAAAGAAAGAACATTTTAGGACAAAGCTAAAGATTTGCAACAGGGATATATAGAATTAGATTTTCCAAATTATTTATTATAACGACATGATTAGCGCCTTAAAATACGTAATAATGTCACCTTTTTCTATCTTGAATAATAGCAATGTTTAAAAAAAATTAATCATTTTGTTCTTATACTTCCCCAGAAATACGTTTTCTTTCATCACCTGCACAAGTAGTTTTAAATAATTTTGAAAAATAAAGTTGTAATTGCACACGAGCTTAACCACTGTTTTTGGCTTAAAAATTCAGGCGGAGGATGGCCCATAAGCCTGACCATATCGCGAAGAAGAATTTAATTATAGTCAAATAAGATTTATTAGAAATGTAAAATATATCTAAATGTATGTGTTCAAAGGGTTTTGATGCAGTGGATGTCAAATTAAATTTTAGAACTGGTGGATTTTAATCATATTTATTGTTTGACCGTTATTAATTAAATTTTCAATATAATTAGCCATTCAAGCCAATAATATCTGGAACTAGTGCTTAGCTATTTCATTTCATTTGTACTACCAAGTACAATATATTTGGTTTTTCAAAAATTCAAAGATCAGTATATTTTGAAATTTATTAAAGAATTTTATAAATTCTTCATTATGTTCTATTTTTAATATTTTTCTTCAAAGAAGTAGTTATTTTTAGTAATATCCTATATGGCCAAAGAATAATATAAGATTTGATGTTTATTTTTCTGTATTTTAATAAAATTAAATTTAAAAGTAGGTATATGAGTATGTGTTTAAATTAAACTAAGTTTATCTCTGTCATTGTAGTACTTAATTCTTTTTGAATTTTGTTCCTTTTCTCTTAAAATTTGAAAAACATTTAAATTTTATTATCTTCCTGTTATATTTATATGTACCCGGTGTTTTTATTTCAGTCTTAATTTTATTATTAGGTAATTTGTTAAAAAAAATTATAAGAAAGCTCTATGAAAATTCCAATAAAATACATATTTTGTGCTTTTAAATTTACTTACTTTAACTAGAGAAATTATAAATACTCCATTGGAACTTATCTCTAAATTGTGATTATCTTTCAAAAACGTAAAGATACTACGTTCTAGCTGTTAGCACGCCGCATGTCGAGAACAACTTTATCAGCTTGGAAGACGACCTTCGTTGTGTTTTATTGGTAAAGTCCATTATTTTTATTTTTCTTACTATAAAAATAAGCATCACACTTGGTTTCACCTTTGCGACTATAATTTTTTTTATTATTTTTTTACGCCTATTTATGTGAAGGGAAGACGTACTTTGTTGTACAATTCAGGTGGAAGACGACATTTTCTAGTATTTTTATGTTCATATCAACGTGTACACCAAGTTTCATCCATGCAAAAATGATTTTTTTTATAATTTTTTTACTGGAATTGCAACCTTCCCGTACAACTGGAATGGAAGACGATAATTTTACTGTTAGATGCTATTTAAATAACTCATATTAAAAAAATAAAGCTTGCGAAAATGGTTTATGGAAATCTGTCATTACCTCCCGGACCATACGCACACACTACAAAACGAAAAGGTATGGTATTGCGTTCAACTGTAACGAATATATTTCATATCAATTCTAGGTAGTGATAACACTGCAAAAAATGAAATTCACCAATCACAGTTCATATTTTGGACACCCAACTAATATTATTTATAAAATTTTAAATAAGTGACAATTATGTCAAACTAAGCTATTGAAATTAAATATACAATGTGCAATATGGCCATCATATTCACTCTTGTTCCACAAACTACTATTTCCTGTTAGGAATACGATTAGTATATAAGTTAATAAAATGGTAACAGAGCAACAGAGCAATAGCCAGTCGTCGACTACAATTAGAAGATATGGTGGTGGGATATTAGTCGAACTGAATGTCAGTCACAACGCCAGAAAGCATAGAGATAGATAGTTGCCACATGTTGGCTGTGAAAGCAATTTAGTTGTGAATCCTAACTCGCAGAAACTCGAAACTTCATCTCTTTTGACCTTACCATAGTTCACATCTTGGTCCGTCCCCTCGACCAATCACATAAGAACACACAGACATAAGCTTTTTCACAGTTGACAAACATACAAACTCTCTGACTAGCAACCAAACAACTACTTTTATTCATTCACGAACACTTCGTCTTTTTTTTTAACAAATGAAACGCTTCAAACCTGCCGTCACTCTAAATTTTAAGAACTTATACTAACAGTGTAAAGGTTTATGTGAAACAATATAGTCTCTAGTCTCTAGTGTTGAATAAAACCAGTTAGCTGAAGAAATCATTTTTATTTCAACACTCCCAATAAGTGTTAAGCAGAGCCTCAAGAAAAAATCATATTTTCTATAAATTTATAAATCTACAGTCCAAAATTCGCTCAAGCCAAAAGGAAGATAATACTGAATTTAAAGGGATGGAGATTCGAAAGAAGAGAAATCGACTTTCATTGCAAAATACTAATATTCGGCCAACCTGACCTAATTGAGCGCCCTCGCCTCAAACGAACAAGAACAAAAAAATATGAAAGAAAATAAAACAAAGTTTTAAACATACAACCAATAATTTAAGTCTATAAAGCAATTCATCCAAATTTTTCGCGGGAACCATAACATCATCAAGATAGCAACAGCCTATTTTATTGCGTACAGCAACTAATACAATATTCATTAATTTTAAGAAACCTATAAGGTGAGTTCAAACATCATGCGCTTAAATTCTTCAGTTGTGTCCGATGTAATAAATGCTGTCCTTTTACTAGAAGATTCAGTTAAAAGTAACTGACCCAACCATTTGAAAGGTCAAGTGTGACAAAAATTCTACTACCTGACAAAAACTGAAATTGTTCATCTAGTCCTGGTTTAGAATAATTTATTCTAATAGTTTGATATTTTAATTTCCAATATGGGATTTCCATTCTTTTTCCGCACTAAAAATACAGGTGATGCATATGAGCTTGTGGTTTCTGAAGCGCTTGAAATCATCTACCAATTTATCTGAATTCATCTCAATTTTATTAACAAAATCTGGATATTTATCATATTCCTCTTTAGTAAGTTTCAAAATTTGCACTTTGTCTAAGATGCTTACAGGCATTGTAAATTCTAACCATATGCTTTTTATCTCCCACTATACATATAATACATCTTGTCTTTCAAAACTATCAATTGTAGTATGCTGCATTTGTGTTTAAGATATTATTAGTATCAATGTATTTTTATATTTCATTTGCATAACCAAATACAAATTGTTTCCCAGTTTTTAGCAATGCCGCATGTGGAAATTCACATACCTATAATTAAGTCAGTTTCTTAACTATTATCAGGAACAATCATTAAGTCAACTTTATCATCTACAGCATTATCAATCGCTAATTCTAACATGTACTTTTCCAAAGGAGTGTAGGGCTGGATTTGAATTTCCTCTGAAAACATAAAGTGGCTGTACTTCATCAATGATATTTAAAGGAAATTTATTAACAATACTTCTCTTTAATTGTACAAACCGAACTTCCGGTATGTATGCTTCAAAATATTCGCTCGAGCTGAAATATTTTCTCTAACATAAACACTTGCTCCATTTAATTTTATATTTGAAATATTTTCTCCTTCTGGAGTAGGTGCCTATTTTGTAAAACGTTTACAGTATTTTTACTCAAATAAGCATTATTTCTATATGGATGACATCACAAGTAACTGTAATCGTGATTTCTATTGCTTTCCTTATCTGTTTATATATAGGAAAGTAAACAGAGTATTTTTTTAGGCAACCCATTTGCGGTTTATTTATTAACATTTTTTAAAAAATAAAAACTTTCATCCGGTAAGCATATGGGCGAAGGTTGACCTTACTTCGTATCCTATACTATTAGACTTTCATTAATAACAATGTCAATTATTACAGATTGAAGACTGCTATTTTAAAAATCTTACCATAATCTTTAGGTTTTTATTAGTTTTTACTCATTTTTAGGACATAATAAGTCGGGAATTTACGAAATTCAACCTAAAAGTAGCGTCAAACCCATTTTTGTCCTGTGCGATATGGTAACCAAAGGTGGAGGATGGACTGTAATTCAAAAAAGGTTCGATGGATCAGAAGACTTTTTCCGTGAGTGGCGAGATTATAAATTTGGCTTTGGAAATCTTCATCGAGAATTCTGGATTGGACTCGAAAACATTTATCAACTTACAGGTTGGTCGTCCATTCTTTTATAACATTTTAACGCTTGCTTCTTTTAAAGTTTCTAAAAGCGTTTACTACAAAACACAATTTTACAACAGTTTTTCTTGCAGGATTCCAAGTAAGCGAATTGTTAGTAGAAATAACAGACAGAGACAAAATTAAAGCCTACGCTAACTATAACAGATTTGGAATAGGTCCGGAAACAGACGGATATCCTTTAAATATCCTTGCAGGATTTTCTGGAGACGCTGGAGACTCTTTAACGCCACACTTATCTTCTAAGTTTTCTACAAAGGATATAGATCAGGACAAACATGCAGTCCATTGCGCTCAGGTATATCGTAAGTAAAAATGGTTAAATATTCTTTATAACTTCCTAATAAAATTAAAAAAAGTAGGTGAAATGTAAAATTTAAAGAAACAGTGAACTAAAAAAAAGAAATTAAAAATGTTTAACAATTAACGCGTCTTAACAACTATGGTTATTGATACGATGAAATATGAGCTATAATATACCGGGTAGACAATTTCAAATTTTTAAAATCTGAATTAAATTATATAGGTTAGTATTCTTGATAAAGATTAAGAATTTATTTTTTATTTATTGTCTAGTTGGTGGATGGTGGTACGCAGGCTGTCACGTAAGCAACCTTAATGGAAAATTCATCAACATGGCTCTTCCTGAAGCATATAAGTTTAAGGGTCTCCATTGGTTGGGATTCAGAGGACACGAGTACTGTCATGCTGGATCGAGAATGTTAGTCAGACCAGTTCAGTCCTAAATTACCGTAGAATATTTGATCAGCTAATCAAAAGCTTGTTTCATGTTATGTTCACTTTTGTATATTATTGTGTATTATGGTAAATAAAGAAAACTCTAAAAGATTTATCTTATTTTTGAAATGAAACATACGGAGTGGCCCAAAAGTCTGGAAACGGCAAATTATCTCGTAAATTGCTAATCCTAATTGTACAAAATTTAGGATACACCTGTTTTGGGATACGGTGATTCCAGATTTGATATTTGCAATGTTGCCAGATTTGCCGTTTCTCTTAAATTATTAGTCACTTTGGTTTTTCAAATTCATCACCCTATATATTCAGTCATTATTGGAATCTCATATTCAATACGAATTCAACCATATATAACACTTATGATTTTATGTAGTCTGGAAGGTCTTAAATAAATAAAATAAGTCTGGCAATTGAAAGATTATAACATTTTTAACATGTTACTTTATCAAGTGTTCAAAATGTGCTCCATTTGTGAGTTGACAGTACCCTAATCGATGGTAGAATGCGTTTACCACATTTCTCCATGATTGTTTTATTTATTTTAGACCTTCCAGACTACATAAAATCATAAGTGTTACATATGGTTGAACTCGTATTGAATAGGAGATTCCAATAATGACTGAATATATACGGTGATGAATTTGAAAAACCAAAGTGACTAATAATATAAGAGAAACGGCAAATCTGGCAACATTGCAAATATCAAATCTGAAATCTCCGTATCCCAAAATAAGTGTACCCCAAATTTTGTACAATTAGGATTAGCAATTTAGGAGATAATCAGCCGTTTCCAGACTTTTGGGCCACTCTGTATATTTCTCAATATCTAATGAACTGTCAAGGTATTTAAAATTTTTAAGGTGTGTCATTTTGTGTAATTTCAAGAATATTTTTTATACATTTTGTAAGCTTGAGAATGAGATATTTGTCATGTCTAGACAACATTGACTTTAAATTACTTTGCTGTTTACATAATTTAGTCTATAAACAACTATCAACGTTTTTAAAGCTCGAAAACTTCCATAAACATTCCTACAAAAAGAGTGTTTAAAATTTTAATTCCAGGTTTAAAAAATTGATAAAGAAATCTTACTAAATGCTTCAACAGGCTTTCTAGAAAGATGCTATGAGTCGTACACAACTTATTGAGAGGTTTGGGTGTTGAAGATCACGAATTACGCTTATTTGCAAATTCTCAGTCAAAATCCGCTGGCACGAGTTCAGGCTCACTTACTATCCTTTTTTTTTATCGGATTTTTTGGCAGTTATTTAAGTTATTTAAGTTTATACTTTTGTCTATTTTACGTTACCCTGATTATCAATGACTATTTGATTAAGGAATGTAATTTTTTCTACCCCCATGTCAGTAAACGTTAAAAATCGCACTATCAGCATGCCTTGTAAATGACATTTAAGAATAACATGCACGTGCGTTTTGATAAGAAAACTTAAGTTTCTTGGTTTATTCAAATTTCAATCAAATATTTGTCTACGTACGACTTTATTTAGTCTATTTACATAAATTTAGTCATTTAAAAAACATAAAAACTTTTAGCATTAGCGATATACATTTTGGATTAAAAGAGTGATGCCCCTAAATGTCGGCAACATACAATGTATCAAAAAATATATCGCGTTTTCTTAGTATGCTATGAAAATAAACGTCATGTCATTTATATTGTCAATTTTTGTAACAAAATATGATCTACCCTCCATAATTCATTGTCTCAACTTTACCTACGAATATGTTTGTTAGCAGTGAAAGTGATGAAATTATGAGCATTCCACCGGAGATTTTAGAAAAAGCTTAAGCTGCCACACATAATTTGTTACCGCTAAAATCCAAAGAAAGAAAGATACGAAATTACCTATCAAAAATGTTTGGATTGGCAACACAAGCATAACGTTAAATCCTTTTTTTGAGAATGTTTTAAAAGTGTGCGTAGAAAAAGTATAGTACGTTACACGAGTTTTAAGCCCATTACGCACTCGTGAAATTAACGCACTCGCCACTGCGCGGCTTCGTGCGTAATGGGTTACTTACAACTCTTGTTACGTAACATAATATTGTTAGGGGCAGAAATTAGTTTTTTTTTTTGAGCTCTAGACTTTGCATTCTATGCGTACACCGATATTTTTTAATTTCTATTTTCCCAAAAATAAGCAAAGGGCCTTCAACATTTCTTGTTTTCAATTCTAATTCAAATTTGATTACACATAAAGAAAAGCATGAAAAATTATAGAGTGGACTCAGTTACTTTCGCTACCGGTTTATTTTTTTAGTTTCCCTCAGTTACTTATCAAATTATTTTATTAATTCACACGAACGTAGAACCAGGTAGATATATAGAGTGCTTTATGTCGTTATTCTCTATCTTAAGCTGTTTAGGATTTATTCAAGTTTATGCATCCTTAAATTTTGCGTTACCCTGAATTACGAAGACCATTTGATTAAGAAACTTAATTATGCGTTACTATAAATATACGGTATTTTGATTGGGAAACTTAGTTTTCCTACCATTTTTAAAATACCTTTCCGTTTTTCTGTTATCCTGATACCAAAGCGTTATCCACGAAATTGAACTTTTTAAACTTTGATTTTTGTATTTAGATAATAGGAGAGTGAGAAGGTATAGAAGATATTTTAAGAGAGGTGAGAAAATTATTAAATCATTGAATTTTATTCCACTTTTGATGGTGGATTTTATTTTAGGATAAAGTGTTAGGAGAGGTAGAAATTTTTTATTTCTGTTTCAATCTTTATGAAATTTTGGCACCGCGTTACAGTAAGCGATCTAAAATATCTAGATGGTGCCTGCTTTTCTCTATCATAAGTACTTTTTGAGATATGAGGTTCACCAGAGATACCAAATAAAAATATTATTTATTTTATAATTTTTCCTATCGTCTCGACATATGATGAATGTTATTTATGTCCACTCCAAATCCTTCCTATAACAATTTATGAGCTCTTTGACTGAGGCCCGCGTCTTAATGGAAACGTAGTGTAACATGCACTGACGAGTATGTCTTGCAGTCGGCCGTTAGTGCAGATTAGGACGCATATTTTTCGCGGCGGACCAGCATTTATAATTTAGATGATGAGGCGTCAGGCGACTCTTGCTTTTTATAGTTGTTTTACAGTTTTCACAGAATTTTTACGAAGCACCATGCTAAATGATTGACGAAATACCTTAGCTATGATATCAATAAATTTAAATTTAGTTCTGGAGATAAATAATTTCGACGAAAAAGTTATGGAAAATTTTATTTCAGTGAGGGATCCTACAGCAGATTTCAATTTCAGGATGGGAGTCATGTCATGCACTTTCGTAAAAACAAAAATTAAAAACAATATAAATATGTCAATTTTCATGTTTGTTTTTTTTAGAATAAATATTTTTGTTTTACTATAAGAAATATATTTTATTTTGTTTATTGACTATTGACCAGGCGCAGTGTGCAGTGTGGTATTTTTTCCGTTAATGAAAAATGCAAAATAAGTAAATACATTTTCATAAAAAATAATGGATTAGTCGAATATAATCGATTAATTAAAAACAATCGATTAATAAAAACAATCGATTAATCGAAATAAATCGATTGTTTATTTTGATGATTCGATATTATAAAACCATTGTTTAATTACCATAATAATTGGATTAGATATTTGCTAAAAATCGATAAATTACTAACAATCGAATATACTATTAAAAACCAATGAAATTGATATATCAATTAATCTAATAATCGGTAATCCAATTATTTGGAAATAATCTCTTTAACGATTAATCGAAAAATAAACGATTTTCTTAATAACTGATTAATGGAAAATAATCTATCTCTCGATTCATCGGAAACAATTGATTAAACGGAAATAATCCAAAGCAATTGATTAAACGAAAATAATCGATTAATCATTTTTAACTGAATAAACGATTATTTGATTAATTGAAAATAATTGATTAGTATAAATAATAGATTTATTTTGATGGTTGCCCAGCTCTAGTATTTTATGCGTACGCCGATTTTTAATCAAATTTAGCTTGACCTCTTTGTTGTTGGGTCAAATTTAGTAATTACAATTTTACCTCCTTCCTGTTGACTGATTGACCTGAAATTTGATACACATCTTTAGTTCTGGTGCCAATACAATTATGTATATTCATGCTGGCCGCCGCAACAAAATGGCGGATTACATTTTTTTCAACCCCCTCAATATGGGTATCAAATGAAAGGACTTGACTAGTAAAATCACATACTTTGATTTTCTTTTACTATACGGAGAATGGTCGCACTGCGCAGCTTTCTGAGTGCCTTTTAAAAAGAGATAGAAAACTCCGCCATTTTGAACCCTTATTACGTGTTGCCTACATCTTGGCGCAATATTTTTAATAGGTGCGTTTTAATCATCCGCTTCTGCTTCGGAATTGTCAATTGTCTTGTTTTAATCTGACACAAACTGTGGGATAGGAATCAAAATGGCCGCGCCCTATGTTGGGCGTGTCGGACCTCTCTCTTGCACCGTATAGTAAAGAAAATCAAAGTATGTGAGTAAAATACAATTCATCATAAAAAAAACAAATTCAAGATGGCCGCTACCACATAATGATCCAATTCATATTTTATCCCCTTCCGATTGATCTAATATTTTGTACCATACACCACACATTATTTCAGAAATGTTTCAGAAATATTTAAAACGTTTCAAACATATAACAAACATTTCAAGCACACGTTTCTTCAACATTTCTGAAATATTTTAGTTTAAATATTTCCGAAACATCGTATACGTGTTACACAAAAGGTTTCTAAACGTGTTATGTTGTAAAAGGCCAACACTTATAATGAAGAATTTCTGATTTGTAAGAAAAAGAAGATCGGATATGTAATTTTATTTCTTGTCCCGCCTGCAGATATTTTTTTCTTAACCATCCTCCCGAGTCCTACCGCTTGCCGAGTCCTCACTTGCTGCGTATGCGCGTACCGTTCTTTGATTTGATTGAGAAGTGGACATATTTCTTATTATTGTCGTACCAGTTGAAAATAGGTTATGTTAAAAATGTAGAAAGATGATATAATAATAATAATAATATGTATTCAAGAAAATATAAATAAATTGGAATAGTTACAAGTATAAATACAAAGTTTAATAATTATTCAAATGAATACCTAGTATAAATACAGAATAATTAGACATTGATAACTCACTGATGCATTATAATGTCTGTGTGCAAGATAGTTTATGTTTCGATTTAGAATGTATAGAAATAAATAAATAAATAATAAAAGAAAATAAAGGTATCTTCGTTTCTCACTTTTGTAAGCAAGGTTTTTTTTTTAATTTGAATTTTTGACTGCGGGAACTGAGTCCATTCGCCAAACCACATCGATTAAATTTTATCTTAGTTCAATATCATATAGTAAGGATAATACGCTCACGTCTAGTTTTACAAATTAATTTTATTAATTTTATTTAACATTATAATTATAATAATAATATAATACAGTATTTACAAGTTCTTTTTTTTTACCAAATTACAGCTTTTTTTTTGTTTTTGGTTTTTCTTTGTTTTTTTTTTGTTTGTTTTTTAATGTTTTTGTAAGCAAGGTATATAGGTATACTTATAAGTAAAAAATAGAGTCCGGTACGCTTTAGGTACGACGGAATTTGAAAAATTAATTTAAACAATAAAAAGTACCCATTCTATAGAATAAATTTCTAAAAAATGCTGATAACAGAATGTTTTCTAAGAAAAGTTAAGATTTTGATATTCCTAACCTAACATTTTATCATTTTCTTACAGTTTTGCCAAGAGTTTCAGTACTTTACACCTTATACTACATAAAATATGTGAATATTAACAAGACTGAAATATTTTTATATCGTAAAATTAATTAATTATTTAGACATTTTTCTTCTTTAATATGTAATCCGACTTCTTCTAATTTTTTAAGAACTTTTTCTAATCTATCTAAATGTTCCTCCCAATTAACCCCCTGAATTTTGATATCATCTAAAAATACACAAACGCCTGGAATATTTGATAAAGTTTTCGAAATATATCGTTGCCAAATGGCCGGGGCTACCTTCGTTCCAAACATCAATCGATTTACCCTAAAATCTCCTTTAGTAGTAGTGATTGCCTGAATTTCCGCACTTTTGATTTCCATAGGCATATTTAGGTACGCTTCCCGAATATCCAATGTAGTGAATATTTTTCCACCCAAGATCGTTCTCGCAAAAATGTCTTCTAGATTTGGTATTGGATACTTGTCATCTTTTAAAACTCGATTTAGGCTAACCTTATAATCAGCACATAGCCGAATAGTACCATCCTTTTTTATTATAGGTACTACCGGTGTTCCCCATTCACTATATTCTATTCTTGAAATGATACCTAATTTTTCCAAACGATCAATTTCCTGTTCCACTTTCTCCTGTAAGGCATATGGGACTTTTCTAGCACTATAGTAAATAGGATTAGTATTATCTTTTAAGTAAAGTTTTGCTTCGTAATTTTTAATTTTCCCTATTCCTTCTTTGAATACTTCGGAATATTTCTCTTTTAGTTTCCTTACTGTATTTTGTACAAGATCATCTGAAAAAGTAATATTTAAATTTCCTTGTATTTGATGGATCTGAGTTTGTAAGACTTGAAAAATCTGAAGCCATTCCCTTCCAAAAACTGGTTCTACCTTGCCTGGTAGTATATACAAATTTGCCACAGCTTTTTGTGTATTAAAGGTAACTTCAACTGTAGAATATCCTATAGGGTGAATCACTTCCCCAGTATACGTACGAAGTGGTAAAGATGATGGAAAAATTCTTACTTCTGGACATAGTGATATAAATTGATGATACTGCAGCTCCTGTATCATATTCAAATAAAATTGGTTGTTCGTTGATTTTAAGTTCTAACATAATTTTTGCAGGTTTATTTAAAGACTCTGGTAAAGGACAGTCTGTCATATTGTTGATAAAATAAAAATCCTTTTCAGAAACTTCATCTTGCATCGTAGATGGCGATTGTGAATTACTGGTACTAGCTTCATTTTTAGTTGATTCTGATATTTAAAATTTCTTCCTTTTGGGGTAGTTGGAATATTCCTTAGGAACTGGTTTGATGGATTGGACATGCAAATTTTAGCAAGATGTCCAATTTTAGAACATGAATTGCATCTAGTCTGAATATTTTTGCAATGCATGGCCAAATGTGATTCGTCTCCACATCTATAACACATACGACCTCTAAATTTACTAAGAACTTTGTTGATATTTTGCAGTTTACTTTTTGTAGGTTGTGGGAGTGTAATTTGATTTTGTTGTGTCAGAAAATCTGATGTTTGCGACTTTAGAATTTCTTTGGAATCACGTTGCGCCGATTCACTAGTTAGAATCATATTTACGCAGTCATCAAAGGTATTGTGTGGTTTTCTTAGTTGAATTAATTTTTCTAACCAAACCGGATTTCGCAGACCACTAATAAACTGTTGTCTTAAGAGAGCATCCACTGTTGAAGCATGACAAGAAAAACATTCAAATTCACAATTTTTGTTAGATCTTTTAAATCTGCTACATAGTCAGCGACTTTACTAATCCAAGATAATAAAAACGACGCTGATGAGGAAACTCATCCTGAAAGAGATGAGTGTTCATCCAATCCTCATACTGAAAGCAGAACAGACGAATATGTACGAAGCAGTGATAACGATAGGGAACCAGGACCGAGAAGAAGTACACTAATTAGAAAATCAGTTAGTCGATTTAGTTATAATTAAGGGGGGAGAATTGTTATGTTTCTTAGTTCCTAATAACACGGTATATTATTTATTTTAGTAGTTTGGTTTCACCCTTTATATTTCTTAGTTCCTAATAACACGGTATATTATTTATTTTAGTAGTTTGGTTTCACCCTTTATATTTATTATTCCATTGTCATGTCACTATGACAGACTGGGGATTTTGTCAACGTTTGTTATATATTCTTCAGAGTTCGAAATAAAGAATTATAAAGTACAGAGATATTTTTTAAAAATAATAGTCATAATCAAAACAAAAAAAGAAGCAGTACTATCGCCACAAAAGGGAGGGACCTGGCTTGTGTCTAGGCTCCGTCAAATATTTCGCTTTTCAAAAAGGTTCTGTGGCTAAAAAAGTTTGAAAAACACTGCCCTAGATTAATGAGAGTGGTGTGAGGACTGTTACCTAGGACCTACCTAATTATTTTATAGCTTTTAGTACATTATCTACATTATCAATCTTTCTTTTCAATAAAGCCGTTTAATTTAAAACAAAATACCTATTTTATTTAAAACTCATTTTCCCAAAAATGAGCAATACCAATTTTCGGCTTTATTCTAATTTTTTTACATGTAACTTTTGTCCTAAACGATCCATTACTTTTTAAGATCTTTAGTAAGTTTGACACTTTTTTAAATGTATCTTAGTTTCTTTATTACTTAATGTTTGATGTCCAATTTTTAAAAGGCACTTGATAATAATTAATATTGTTTACAAGTTATTATTATATGCTCGTTGAATAATATACTATTATTTATTACTCGAGATATTCCTCATAAATAAAAAGCAGATCGAGTGTTAGCTGAATTTATTTTATACATATTCACAAAATATCTTTCAACTGTATAAAAAAAAACTGTTCAGACATAACAGCCGTTTCTTGAGGAAATGAAACGACATCAGAACACAACCAGTCTCATGAATTCTCCAATTGAGGAGAGAATAATTGAAAAAAAAAATAAATAAATTTACAAAACCAATACCGAAAATATTATTACACCTCAGATCTGAACATAAGAAATTTTGAATTAAAACAAAAAAAAAATACAATACCTACAACAAATCACAATCTGTACAAAAAAATTGAATCTAAAAAATATATAAACAGGCATCTTTTAATTAAATAGTATAAAAAATTTTAAATTTAAAAATTTCAATTATTACGCTTTAAACAACCTACAACTCATCCTTCTTTGTAGCATCATCATCTTCAGCCTCCTCTTCGACAGGCTCGGCATCTGAACCCTCTTTTCCACCGCTCTCCACGAACTTGGTCAAACCCTCGTAAGTCCTAGGCCCGTTGTATTCAATAGCCTGGTTCTCGCCCTTGGTGTACAACTTGATGGTAGGGAAGCTCGACACTTTGGTGTGCTCCAACTCGTTGACGGTCGCGTCCATTTTGGCGATGACGACGTCGGCGTTGTCTCTGAAGTGTTCGCCGACTTTGTCGTAGATGGGAACGAGTTGCTTGCAATGGCCGCACCAGGGCGCGTAGAACTCGACCAGAACGTTTTTGTTGGTGTCCAATGCGACGGTATCGAAGTTAGTGGCGACCAGCACCTGAAAAATTACGATTTTGCTTCATTTTAATATGTTCTGCTTAACAGCTAAACTGGGATAAAATATTTTACTAATAACCAGTCTGGGAATAAATAAAGAACCCAAGTCAGGGAATAAATAAAGAAGTTCAAGTCCGAGAATAAATAAAGAAGTTCAAGTGCTAGAATAAATAAAGAAACGAAGTCAGGGAATAAATAAATAAGTTCATGTCAGAGATTAAAGAAATGAAGGGAATAAATAGCAAAGTCTAGGCATAAATAGAGAAGTCTAAGAATAAATTGAAAGGTCAGAAAATAAATAGAGAAGCCTGGGAAGAAGTAGAGGTCAGAAAATCAATTGGGGAATCTATAAATAAATAAGCAAAGAAATGGAAAATTTAGGGAATAACTACAGAAATCGAAATCAATAATAAAATTAATTTGTTAGTGAATAAATATAAAAGTCTGAAAAAATAGAGCAGTTAGGAAACAAATAGAGATCAAAAAATGGAGAAGTCTGGGAATAAATAAAAAGGTCAGTAAATGGCGAGGTCAGTAAATAAATAGATAAGAATGTGAATAAAGAAGTCGAGAAATAAATTGGGAAGGCAGTAAATAAATAAGAAAGAAACTAAAATAGAGCATTCAGGGAATGAATATAGAAATAAATAGGTCGGTGACAAAGTAGAGAAGTCAGGAAATAAATAGAAACGTCTGGGAATAGACAGAGATGTCAAAAAATAAATAAAAGTCTAGAAATATATAGGGAGGTCAGGAAATATAAAAAAGGTTAGGAAATAAATAAAATAATAAAAAAAAGAAGTCAAGAAATAAATTGGGAAGTTAGTAAATAAATAAGGAAATAAATAGAGAATTCAAGAAATGAATATATAAATAAATAGAGATCAGTGAATAAATAAAAAAGGATATGAAAAAATAAAGGTCAAGAAATAAATAGAGAGGTCAAGAAATAAATAGAGAAGTCTAGGAATAAATACAGAGAACCAAAATTAATAGAAGTCTTGGAATAAATAGAGAGACCAGGAAGTAAAAAGGCCAGAAAATGGCGAAATCAAAAATAAATAGATAAGAATGTGAATAAATAAAGATTTCAAGAAATAAACTGAGAAGTCAGTAAATAAATAAAAAAGAAAATAAATAGAGAATTCAGGAAATGAATGGAGAAATAAATAGAAGTCAGTGATAAAATAGACATGTAAGTAAATAATTAGAAACGTCTGAAAAAGAATAGGAAAGTCAGGAAATAAATAAGTCCAAAAAATAAATAAGGAAGTCAGTGAATGGTTAAAAAATCATGGAGTGTAGGAATAAATAGAAAAGGTGTGCAATCAATAAAGTACTCAGGGAAGAAGTGGAGAGGCCAATCAATAAATAACTAGAGACCCAAAAGAAAATATGTAGACAGCAACCAAATTAGAGTAAAAACCAAAAAACAGAATTATTAAGAATCTAGTTGAACAACAGAACCGCAAAATATCTAATTATTGTCCAAATTAAAAAAAAAAACTAAAGAGAAAAATTAAGAAAAAGACCTATGAGAAGAAAACATAGACAGAGTCAAAGAATATGCAGAAAAATTCTAGAATTATTAGAAACCTAATGAAACACAGGATCAACAAAATAGATAATTAATAATTGCAAGGAGAAGGATACTTTCAACAAATTTTCCACAAATATAGAAAAAAGAATGGCATTATGGTAATCTGTAATCATGGATGTAGTTTCCTTTAATTCAATAACAGAATGCATTGTTGCGATTCCGATTTTCTCCGGATGTGGAGAAACACATCTGAATGGCATCATCATAATCTGTAATCGCATATTATTTAGTTTCGTTTCCTTAGATGACAGAACGCAACGTTGACATTCCGATGTTTCCACAACTAGGGAAGAAATCTAAATGACGTCACAATCTGTAATAATGTATGTAATTATATTTCTTTCGAAGGCAGAATGCAACGTTGCCATTCCGCTTTTTCTCCAAATCAGAAAACATGTAGTTTTATTTCCTTCAGTGACAGCATAATGCAACGGTGCCATTCCGATTTTTCTTCAGATCTGGGAAAAATTGGGATGACGTTGCAATCTGTAATCATGAATGTAGAATCGTTTCGGTTTATGATAGAATACAACTTTGCCATTCCGATTTTTCTCCACATTTGAGGAAAAAATCGTAATCTTTAATTATGTACGTAGCTCCGCTCTCTTCAGTGACAGAATGCAATGTTGCCATTTCGATTTTTACCCAATCTATAGAAAAAAATTAAAAAATCATCTTCGCAGTCTGTAATCAAGTATTTAGTTTAGTTTACTTCAATATCAGACCGCAATAGTATCAACTTTTCCCCAGCGAGGTAAAACATCTGCATGGCAACATCGCGATATGTAATAACAGTCGTTTAGTTTTCTTCAAAGACAGAATGCATTGTTAATTTTTCAACAGATCTGAGAAAATATTAAAATGGCATTGTCATAATCTGTAATTACATACTAAATTTCGTTCATTTTGATGACAGACAGCAACGGTGTCATACAAACTTTTCCCCAAATCTGGGGTAAAACATCAAAAGAGAAAGTTCGAAATTTGTAAGCACATTTGTAATTTAGTTTTCTGTGATGACAGAATGTAATGTTGCCATTCCGATTTTTTCCTAGATCTATAAAAAAAATTAAAATGGCGTCGTCGTAAAGTGTAATCACGTATTTAGTCTCGTTTACTTCGGTGACACAACGGGACTGTTGAGGCAACAGTTTTTACCAAATCTGGGATAAAACGGAATGGAAACGCCGCAATCTGTAATAGAATATGTAGATTAATTTTCTTCTATGACACAATGTAACGCTTTTCTCCAGATCGGAGGAAAAAAATAAAATGGCATCGTCGCAATCTGTAAACACGACTTTAGTTTTGTTTACTTCGATGACAGAGAGCAATGGTCTTATAACGATTTTTTCGCAATCTGTAATCATGTATTTAATTTCGGTTTCTACGATAATAGACTTCAGCATTGCCACTCCAAATCTAAGAAAAAATCGAACGAATCTGTTGAAAACTACAATAGGATCAACTTATCTAGGAATGCCCTAAGAACTGAATCCAGAAAAGAAGTAGATATATAAATCAGGTATCAGTTTGAAAAAATCGATTTTACTAGTGTGTAAACTATGAATATAACAGATAAACATACATAGAAGAAACCAAATAACCAATCAAAATTAGACTAAAGGAACATAAGAACTAAAAATCGAACAACTTTGAGATGTTTCTTAACATCAAATCTTTAGTATCGTCACATATGACACACAATATAATAATTTCGTCTTACCTTCACATCTTCCTTGTCCCAATCCTCGGGCAACTCTTGGCTCAAAAGATGTTGCTTCAATTTGCCTTCCAAGAAATCGTCGACGAACTGCTTGAGGTTCTCGGCCGTCAAATCGTCAGTAGGTGGCTTGTACTTGGCCATGTCTTCTTCCAATTTGATCAAACGCGCGGCCGGTACTTCCTTCTTGCTCATGCCGAAGAATTCGAGGATTCTTTGATGGTCTTCCTCTTCGGCGTCGATGGTGACAAACAGGACCTTTTCTTTGTACGGTTTGGCGATAGATCTGGCAGCGTCCGATACTTTTTGGTACGATTCGTCGTTCTTGTTCAAGAACAGAAGTAGATGGCTCTTGATTTCGCCACCGAAGATCTTTTGAGCGGTATCGTGGTTGAATTCGACGAGAAGCGGAAGAGCGTTGGATTGAACGAATTTCTTGAGTTCGGCTTCGTCGTCCGGTTTGCCATCGTAAACGACTTTGCCTTCGTCGAACTAAAAAAGAAAAAATTCCTAGTTTCACCCTCTAAAATGTTAGGCTTTGTATAAAGTTCTCTCAATAAAATTTTTAGCAAAAAAGTGTGGTAGTAAAAAAAGTATGGTGTGTAACACGTGCAGAAATGGCATGTATACTCTTGTTTTACAATATACTACTTTATAATTCATGGAAAAAAGGAAGGCCTATGAAATTAAAAATGGGATTCTAAAAAAAACTTTATTAGTTGAATGTAAATTTTATCTTTAATAATTATTAATGAATTGCACATTAAAATGAAATTAATTCAATACATTCTGAGAAAGTTTTTATGGTTAAAAATAATAATCGAAACTGAAACTTACCTTTTTGAACAAAACCACGGAATCATCTTTAGCATCGTACTCTTTGAAAACTGGCTCGTCATCGGTGATTCCGAATGGAATGTCATCGATGGAAGCGGCGACTTCCAAGAAAGCTTTGGCGGCTTCGGTGGTTTGATCTTTGAAGAAACCGAGGACGACGACGTTATTGGCATCGATAAACTCTTTAGCAGCGTCTACGGAAGAAACGTCTTTGGCCGGTGGACCGGTTTTTTTTAACAGCCAGTTGACGATGTCGTCGGCTTGTCTTCCTCCTGCAAAAACATAATTACTTGATTTACAGAACGCAGTAACAATGCGAAATTCCAAAGGTAACGTAACAACTCTCGACTGTCTGATGAACAGTTCCTGGTTTCGGTTTCGCTCAGAGTAGAGAAAGGCGAATAAACGGGACCCTGTTTAAGTGTGGTGATAGTAGAACACTCACAAGTGCAACTAAGTCGTAAAATAGTCAACAGAGACAAACGGTGAAGCCAGTCATTAGTACCAGTCGGTGAAACTGGTCACTAGTACCCTTTTGTTCTAAAAAGGATTTTTCATTGACTTATAACTAGAAAATTGTGTTTCAAATTTAAATTTCAGTTTATTTGGTCTGCACTTTCTTGGTGTAAATCAAAACAAGATTCGATTGTAGGAAGCTAAATTGACCCTAACGAATTTAGAAATTTTGATTATTATGAAGGGTTGGTATTATTTGTTGTACAGATCTTGTATTCTGTTAGTATTTTTAACCTTTTCCTGGGTAAGAAATCCAGTTTAATGCTAAATATCATATTATTTGTATCTTTTGCAGATTCCTCCTCAGTTTTATTTACCTTGCTTTTTTGTTTAAGAAACCCAGTCTATTTAGTTGGTAATTATTGAGTGTAGATGGCAATATTATATGGTTGTTCATATCAAAAGTGACCAGCAAAATGTATAAAATTAGGATGGCACTCCTGTACTAGAAGGGAAAAAATCCAATGATTACTAGTCAAATACATCGCTTATACATATGTAAATCAGACGACGAAAAGCGAGGCGCTACTAAAAGGCATTATTGCAAGTCTTCGAACTCAAATCGAAAAAAGAAGCAAGATTACTTTGCAGTACAGATAGAAAACTTAGTTTTGCCTATAGTTTTTGTTTTATTAGTTATTATTTCTAATATTTATTTGTTTTGAAAAACCCACAACCCTAGCAAGTTTCTTCTTGCTAGGTGTAATCGAAATTGCGTATTTTTCACATTAAACCATTTTATGTATTTTTTCTTTTTCTGACTTATACAGGGTGTTTCACAACTTATCCGGCAAATTTTAACCACGTCAACAGTGTTACATAATAAGTCTTCCACAAAAAAAAATGTAATAAGAGTTCAACAGAAAACGAGGTAAAAAATAAAATTTGTAACACTTTTTTTCTACAGAAGGTATTCAAAATAAGCTCCATTGGCTTTAGTTTTACTTAGGTTTTTGCTACATTTATCTTTCAATTTTATTTTGTTGTTTTACACCTTATCCGACAACCGTTAATGACAAATACACTTGAACTTTTTTTATTTTTTATCTCCTTATCTGTTGGACTTTTATTACATTTTTTTCGTGTAATTGACTTTTTATGTAACACTGTATACGTGGTTAAAATTTGACGGATAAGTAAAGACCGGACAATTTAATTTATTCTTATCAGCGAAGTAACGGTAAGAGCGGACCTTCGATTTGAATAATACATTCTGAATAAAACAAGTTATTTACTGAACTGGTCGACACAGTAGATAAGATATTGGATTTTTATCGCCCGGGCGTAACATTTGGGGCGGGCTTATTATTACATTTACATTGCAATAATTATTTTATTAAATTTTAGTTCAAATTTGGTTGGATATTATTATATAATTACAAATGATATTATTATTTATTTTTTTATTGTGTTGTGGGATAATGTTGTTGGCTTTTTCTGTTAATATATTATTGACTAATAAATATATCAACGAGGATACACCATCATTAGTTTTATGTTTAGAGTGTTCCAATATACACTCTTTATCCTAAAGTAGCAAATATACAATTATATACAATATATACAATACAAATTAATATCAATCTTCTTCATTTGAAAAATATGTTTGTATGACTGCATATTTTTCTAAATTGTCTTCAGTGAAATTACTTCTTTTAGAAGTCAATAAATCTTTAAACCTAGAAAACGATCGTTCTACGTCACAACTCGTTACAGGAGCAAATGAAAAATGTGGAACAAAATCACAATATTTTAAAGCAGTTTCATAATCGTTAAAATTGTTCAGGGAGATTTGTTTCAGAGTCTGTAAATTTGGATTTCTTTTAATAACACAATCTATTTTATGGTTAAATTTATCTTGTAAGGGCCACTTTACGTTTTTTAAGTGTAACAATGTCGATTCAAATTTTTCCATAGCAACCGATAATTGTAAGTTACGGGTTTCAAGGAATTTTATAGTTTCTGGGAGACACGAAAAATAAGTCGCAAGAAAATTTAACTCCGACTGCAAAGTTGTTTTTGTTATTAAACCTTTACACTGAGTGATAGAGAGAGCGTCCTCTGATCAGTTGGAAATAAATACTTTTAGTCTGTCGAAATGCTCCGAAAAAAAGAACACAGCCTGTAACCAAGTTCCCCATCGTGTAATAACTGGTTGTGGAGGTAGGGGGATATTCGGACATATTTCTTTATATAAAGAAACTCGGGACGGTGCTTTTAACAAAATTTTTTTAAAACAGCTAATCAACGAATTAATGTCTGGAAAGCTGTCACGGATAAACTCACAAACTCGGTGTAACGCGTGAGCAAGGCAAGTTACATGCAGCATGTTTGGAAAATGTTCTTGTAATAGTTTCCCTGTTTTCAACATTACACTTGCCGCGTCTGAAATAAACAATAAAACTTTTGAAACGTCATTATCAATTACATTGTTCAATCCACGTTTCACTATTTCATAAATCATTTCAGCGTTCACAGTTTCACGAAACACACTAGAAACTAAATACTGTTGTGAAGTATTTTCAGCACTTAATAATCCTACAACAACATTAACAACACATCTACCCTTTATGTCAGTCGTTTCATCTGCACTAACCCAAATATATTTGCTGGAAATTTTCGTTTTTATTGCCGTCATTGCTTTATCGTACTGATTTTGAATATAATGTTTTCTAATTGTGGATTCATCCGGTATTTTACGTTTAGTATATTTACAAAGAAAATTTTTGAAAATTGTATTATTTAATTTTGTTAATGGAATATTTGCAGAAACAAATGCGTTGCATAAATCTTCATAAAAGATTTTGTCTGGACATCCCTCTAAAGATTGCATGTGTTTTTGTGTTTTCACATGTTGTGTCATACTTGACTTTCCATTAAAAACTAACACCTGATCACAATTGCGGCAGTATAATTTGTTGTCATTAAAACGACGAAAACAATCAAAGTCCGATAATAAATTTTCCATATTTACGTTTCCAGTTTCTATCACTTTTCCCTTTGAACTAAACAAATATACTCATTGGAAAAATCTAGTGATATTTTTACAAGACACTTTCTTCTCAAATCTCCTGTTTATCGACTCTTTGTTATCTTTTTACATTTTTTCAACCAACAGATACCTATATAGAGTGAGCAATTGAATTAATACATACATTACAGAAATTTAACAGACATTTATTTTATTGTCTCATCGTGTATAAGTACCATAATATCCACAGGAAATAAAAACATAAATTTTTTGTTACAAAAAATCGGTATGTACGGTATCGATAAAAGCCAAAATATTCATAAATATAATATAAGGATTGACTTTATTTGAATAAAAATATCACCGGCAACTAACCGACAATGGATCGAGAAAGTATAAGACAACATATGATGGGCCTATTTGACATTCATTTTAGGCCCTCTCTACAGCGTCTTAGTCCAAACGCTCGTAGAGTCCTAATATTTGGCCCCGATGCAATTTCTCCAACAATGAATCGGGACCAGCTAAGGCTAGAAATTTCCAATTTTCTGGAGGAAATAACAAATTCGGGGGAGGCAGCTGGGGTCCTCGATCCTCATTTTAGGCAGGAGAATAGTGTACCACGCCAAAATATTGAGGAATAGATATTTTGTAATTATATAAGAGATAATAATAAAAAAAATATCATACAGAATATCGTTTACATTACTACACCTTAAACTCGCTTATGAAAAGTTTAACATCTTCATCAAAAAAGTTATTTTTTTTTAAGGAAAATTTCTCAGGCCACAAATTAAAGGATCTGAGGTTACTAAAAACTTTTGTAAAATATCCTACATATCCTCGGCGTTGGTGAGAAGAAAACATTAAATTTGTTTAATGAAAATGATTCAAAAGACAAAGAATATAGGTACACGATAAAAAAAAATCTCACTTTTTTGTATTAGTTTTAATGTCTATGTATATATCAGTACACTTTTTTTATCTTGTTTTAATAAAAAAAAGAGGTTTGTCCTGATAGTATTAGAATCTGCCGCACTGTCTGCCGTCTTAAATAGCGAACCCAGAATGAGACGCCTATGTGATTAAAACCAATTATTTGAACGCGATTAAAATGTCCGGTCTTTACGGATAAGTTGTGAAAAAGCCTGTATACACTAGGGCAGGCCTGCACAACTCAGATTTTCAAAGGGGCCATATTTGGAAAACCGTATCTGGACGAGGGCCGACGAGAGAGGCCTGAGCTTACAACAGTCTCCTCAGATTTCAAAAAAAAAAGTCGACACCTTTCATTTATAAACCAACTCCTGCTGGTCAAACTTATAAAAAAAGGTCGCCACCTTTCATTTATAACTCCTGCTGATCGAGCTTCTAAAAAAAAAGGTCGACGCCTTTCATTTATATAAACGAACTCGAGCTTCTAAAAAAAAGTCGTCAGTTTATAATGTATAGCCCACCCTGATCGAGTCAGCCTAAATGCAAGTTTGTTACCGAAAATGCAAAAATGTATAATTTGAGGTAAGCGGGCCAAACTGGTCAACAGCCGGCGGACAGCCCAAAACGTTGTGCACCCCTGCACTATTGACAATACAGCATTTCGCTGTATTGTACATTTGCAAAGCCTATCCAGCATTTGATCTTATACAGCAATTGTATTTGTCCAGCAAAACGCCATTATTGTCCAGCAATGCAATAAATAATTTACTGAAACGCAACAAATAAAACAAAACGTAATACATGACTTCTCTGTTGTATTTTTTACTTGGGGAGCTAAAAAAGAGGTGGTACTCTACATGACTTCTCTGTTTTGTATTTTTATCTTTGGGGAGCTAAAAAAAGAAGTATTCAATGGGTTAAAATAATTATGGTCACACTAATATACACCATACCTGCTTGAATGGCATTATTTATTAAGCAAAAATATTTTTAATATTATTAAAAAAATTTCCCATAATGACATAATATTTTCTTTCTACTCTTATTTTACATTGTAGGTACTTATTAAATGCCTACATAAAATCATAATATTCATTAGATACAGATTATTTTTATTATGATACACATTATTTCAATTACGATCCAAATTACCTTTTCATTACAATACAGATTAGGTAAGAAATTACATATGGATGAGCAATATATGTAACTGTATACATCATTGCATGGTGTGATTGTGTGATCTGAATTACCAAAACTGTGGTACAGAAGCGCCATCTTTATGTTATACATTTTGAGGGACATTTTTGTATACAAAGATAGTTCTCCTTATCTAGACACTCCATAGTTGTAATATAATATTTACTGTGTTTTCACGAATCATCTGTTTTGAATTTGACCGTTAGAAAATATTAAGGAAGTGTCAGTAATTTTTAGATGCATTAGTTTAAATTGAATACGTTCAGTTATTGTCACATTGGCGTATTTGTTGCATTGGATTTGATTGGTGTTCTAAGACATAATTTGATTTGGATGAGATGGTCGTTTTCGTCTACCGCCAGTTTTGGGATCAATAAAACTTTTTCAACGTCGTTCGTATAGCCATTGTAGTCGAAAAGAAGGTATCAGCCGACTAATTTACATAAAATAGATTTATAAATTGGCATTATTTTGTACATACAGAAGTAGTGGTTGAAATACTTTCTCACCTCGACAAACATACGTGTTAAAACCATCTTTTGACATTTAAAAAGCATGAATATGAAGTAAAGTGAAGAGCATGAGGTGTACTCTGTCTATATTGATTTTTTAAAGCCATATGATTGGTTACATTAGTGTACAAATTGAAATTATTGGAGGTCAGAGTCTAAGATTCTAATAAGGGTGTCAATAGGTGTAATATATTTTATAGTAGATAAAAAAATGTATGGTTCAACTTTCTTTAATACAAAACTGACAATTAAAAAGTAGAGGGAGTCAATTTTGAAATAATTATTTCGCTTTTTGGGTAATAATTTCACAATATGGTTATAAATTGTTGCCACATTTTTCAGAGGGCTATTATTATGTAATGATGAATTTAAATTATTTTTTAACAGAACCTTTTGGTAATTTTGACTAAAAAACTAGAATGAAGATATACTGCTTGGCTCTATATACTCTTCACAGTTTAACAAGCTCCTTTAACACCCATTTTAAATCAATTTTATTTTCAGAATCAATAGGCTTCATCCCCTTATAAAGCTTGATTTTTCCAGAACATTTCAATTTGATATCATTTTTTGTTTCAGAGTTAGGATTTTTTCAATATTTCCACATTTTCCCCCATTTTTAATAATTTATTCATTCCCTTATAGAGCTTGATTTTTACTAAACGTTTCATGTTGATATTGCTTTTGGTTTTTGATAATTTTTTTTATTTCAACCCCCCTTGACCATCATTTTATTCGGATTTTTTTTCAAATCAATAGGTTTTTTCCCCTTATAGAGATTGATTTTTGTCAAAAATTTCAAGTTAATATTATTGTTCTTTTTTAAGTTAGGATTTTTTGAAATATTTCAACCCTCATTTCTATTAATTTTTTTTTCAGAAGACTTCGTCCCCTTATAGAGCTTGATTTGTACTAAAAATTTTATGTTGATATCGCTTATGTTTTTGATTTATTTTATTTTTTTAATTCCAACCCCTCTTAACCTTTAATTTTTTTTTCAATATCAATAGGCTTTGTCCCTTTATACTCAAACAAACTCATTTAAGATAAAATCGGTTTGTTTTCGTGGTTTTTCTAAATAAAGGCGTTTTTGCAAAAACTAAAAATTTTATCGATAAAATTTGGAGGACTCCTGGTATTACCTTTGAGAAAATATCAAAAATGGAAATCCTTTGATTTGAAGGGCACAAAAATAAGACATTTTTCTACTATTATAAATATTAATGTGCAATACTTAGTACCCCGCCAAGCAATGTGGATAGTGAACAGCTATTCTCTTCAGCTGGTACTGTATAGGGAGATTCATTAAGGGTGGTGACCGGTCATATCATTAGTCAAGGGAGGCACCTTTCTATAATATCCTCAACTGTCATATGTCATTCCTTTCTCCTGTCACTTTCACTAGTACAATTTAAATAGGGAAAGTACCAAGTATGTCATATCATCGCAAAGGTAATTTTATTGGAAATTCAGCTTACTTTTTATTTTAACGCCCTCTAGCGAGATAAATATTATTACGTATTGTTAAGTATAACACTTCATTTGAATGCTAATTTTATTAGTATTCCAATGTACCACATAATCTAAATATTTCCATATTGCACTTGTACAAAATAAAGTAAGTAATATTGCAATCTTTTTTTTTAATTTAGGTTCATTTTTGATTTAGGTAACATCATTGTATATTATGTAGTGCATTGAATTAATAATAAAATTAGACTTTAAATGAAGTGTCACACTTTACAATACTTAAGTTTTTTATCCTGCTAGATGAAGTTAAAATAAAATTAACTCAATGAGCAGTCATAATGCTGAGTTTTCCATAAAATTACATTATCGGTGATGTGCCATACTTTCCGTATTTAAATTATATTGGTTAGCTTGAGGGAGGTGAGAGGAATGACATATGACAGTTGAGAATACTAGAGAAAGGGATCTCCCTTGAAATAAAAATTAACCTGTTTTTGCATTTCTTTCAAAAAAAATTATAATTAAAGTTATTCTGAAATACAGCCCTTTGCTACCCTTAATGAATCGTCATGAATATGAAAGCACAAGAAATGATCTAACCTCCAAAAAGAGCCGAAAGTTTAATTTTGTTATACTTTAACGTACCAAAACCTTACTTTAATATTTTTTACTTATTCCTCATTTAGATTTTAAATATTTTTTTTATTCTATAGGTACATTGTTTTTTTATTGAATATTTGTTTAAATTTCTTTAAAAAGTTTTTAGCAATTGAAATAATGGAAATAATGGACAATACCGATATCAGTCAGGAAAGCTGATATGGCCGATATACCTATACCGATATCTGTGGATACCCATTAAAAACAGTTACAATAACCACAAATTATATATTTTTTGCTGTTCATGGTATTCTCTGTATAACATACATTTTTATGGCAACTTATTTGAATTATATCGCATATCAGTAAAAAACTCAAGGATAAACACCCACTTAGGTTAAATAAATGTAAATTCATAAAGCAATTTGTTATCGCCACTTATATTTGTCTGTTATCATTAAACTGTTGCAATAGTTTTTGTTTAAACAATTTTAATAGGAGATTAATATCCAAAAATAAAGATTTGTAAAGTGAAAGTTCTATTAGGTGGTAATTAATTATTAATTGTTTCTATAATTACCTATGTATTATTGTCAACATGTGTTAATTATAAACAGCTTAATGAACTTTGTAATTGTTTTAAATTTTTTAAATGGTCAAATATGTCCAAATAATAAATATTTTAATATGAAAGATTTATAAACAAAAACATAAACTTTTACATATTTTAATTTTAAAACATTCTTTATACTAATAGAAAAAGAAAAAACATTTTAGTAGGTATTAATGCATCAAATATTGAAAAATTATAATAATGATAATCATATATTTAAATAATATTAGTTACTTTAAAAATATTATTACTAATTGTATAAATTATGTATTTAACTCACAAAAAACAACAAACAATGGGTTATTAAATAAATATGTAAAATCTGATAATTAAACCAAGTAAATAAAAAATGATCTGAAAATAACTTATTTTCTGTTCAAAAAAAAAATGATAAACTGTAAAAAATTATACACAGCATTGTCTCTTACTGTATAGGAATAAGCACACGAAAAAATGATTTTTTAATGGATAATTCTAAAACTAAAGGGTCTAGGGAGAGGGAAAAAAAATGTAATAAATATGTTAAAAATTCCATCAAAATATGATTATTTAAGCAAAAAGGAATTAAAGAAAATCCCCATTTTGGTTCTTTTTGGAGAATTTCTTTTAATAGAATAAATACTGGATTAATTTGTCTATTATAAGTTTAAAAAATCCACAAAATAAACCAAACCTGTTATATTATGGTCGACATCACTTGCTTCTCTAAAAACAATAAATAATTGTTCACAAATCTGATAACTTTTATATTATTTTCTCATATGTCAGGTATTGCTAATCTATGATATTAATAAGTAGGACCATTATTCCTCTTAAAATATATTATTAAATATGTATAAAATGTAATTTTTATATTTTGACTATTATGTTATATATAAACTTATCTCATCAAATATCAACTCATTAAACACAAATCCTACCTGAATATTCAGTGGGAGAACCTTTCCTGAAGAACTTCAAAGTGGGATAACCCCTGATTCCAAATTGTTCTGTCAGTTCTTGCTCTTCGGTGGCATCAACTTTACCCAATTTAATTGCAGACCCTTGGTCTGCCAAAGATTTGGCTGCCTTAGCATATTCTGGAGCCAATGCTTTGCAATGGCCACACCATGGAGCATCTAGAAGAAACAATGCAATTAAGTATAAGTATACTATTACATTAAAACATGTATTAACAATTTAAATTTAATATTAATGTACTTAGTTTCAACAGCATAGATTATCTATATGCAATATGATGCAATTATACCCAGTATTCATCATATAACTTTTACTGATAAAGTTATAAAGAACATTCAACAATAAAGATTTAGGGCCATTTACAAAATAAATGGCAACTCAAAATATAACAAGTAATCTGTAAAAACAAGATAAAAGACATCTTTAATAGCTTTTGGAAGTTTAAAAGGGGACCTAGGATTGAACCTTCAGGTACAATTTTCAACAATTCTCAGATCTACAACACCCAGAACCCAATATAACTAGCTCTAGATCTGGTACAGAGTAAAGTAAGAGCATCAGTAATCGACACTAGTAAGACATCATATGGTGATTAATGTAATTTTGGATACACCAGTAATCAACACTTATTGACAGTTTCACCAGTTATCATCGCCCAGTTATTGACACTGCAAAGACAGCATTAAAAAGTCGAACACTGGAGTCCCATAATACCCTAGTAATCTACAAAAAGATGTCAAACAATGGAGAATAATATGCGTATGCGTACCCAGTTAAAATTTTTAGCAAAAATATGTATTTTAGAATGCAAAGATACACACAAAATTTTATTTGCGTATCTATACTATTTAAAGAGTAACAACATATTTTATAATGTAACTTACCTTACCAAATTTCTGTAGAAAAAAATGAAGTTCATGTTCTCGACACAACATGCACCATTTTTGACCACTTAATAAAAACTGTGACTTTAGAGGATTTTTGATGTGTTTCCAGAGATATTAGACTTTTGTCCTAACATAGAATTAAGTACAAATCCGAACACACGCCCTTATTAGGAGAGTTTAAATTTTAAAGTTTCCATTACTGGTGCAGTGTCAATTACTGGTGTAGTGTCAATTACTGGTGTAGTGTCAATTACTGGTGCACTGTCAATTACTGGTGCACTGTCGATTAATGGTGCACTGTTGATTACTGGTGCACTGTCGATTACTGGTGCACTGTCAATTAATGGTACACTGTTGATTACTGGTGCACTGTTGATTACTGGTGCACTGTCAATTACTGCTACTCTTACCTTAGTGAGTATTTTTGAGAACAAACAGGGTAAGTTATAATTTGAAAGATATTTGTTACATTCTTGTTGTTAGTGCAATGTTTTATTCTTTTTATTACATTTTTAAATACAGACACGACTATAAATTACCACCTACTTATATATATTTTTAGTTACTGTAAATTTTAATAGTAGAAAACAAAATGTAGTACAAAAACTATGTAGCCCAAAATCTGAAAATAACTATTATCAGTTAATGTTAAGCTAATAAATTATACTTCAAATTACTTATAAGTACTATTTATAAGTAGGTAATCTTTTTTATTACATACCTTTAATAAAATGTATGTTACTTATTTTAATTATTAACTTGGAATTTTAAAACATGCATTAATTTAAAGTATTTCATTTCGCTCATTAAATCTACATGAAATGTAATGAATGTTAAAGTATATTTATGCAAAATGATATTTTTATATTATAAAAACTAACAAAATTACTATTATCTGAATAAAGCCAACTTTTTAAAATTCAATACAAAATATCTGTACCTCAGAGGTAAACTGCACTGCCATTCTAACCAACTTTTCAGTAGAGCAGATTGAATGTTGTTTGGACACTTTTTAGGCTCTATAATTACCTACATATTATATTTAGACAAGAAATGCAGTTAGACATCCAATTATTGTCCCAATATTTATCTATCTTTTACTAATCTAACCTCGAATCTAACTAATAAAACTTCCTATTTTTTTTATAGGCATAATTTGTTGATTTTTATGAAATGTTTCCAAATTCTGATTCTGACATAGTGCCATATACCTCTAACATTTCTATTTTCTCATAGAAATATTAGAGAATTTAACATGAGTTAAAAATACTATTTACATTGTTTACCTAGTACACTTATTAAACCTAACTTTTATTGTGACCTTATAATGGTGTAGTATATCCCTGAAACAGACTCCCTAAGCTGAGTTTAAAAATATAACTTTTATAAAAATGCACAGTCGACATAGTGCAGTTTACCTCCGAGGTACAGATATGAGAAATATATACCTCAGATACATTCTTATTTGGTTTCATAGTTTCTAAATAAAACAGGAGAACAGAATTAAAAAGAAACAACAACCTGTTGATATCACTAAAAAAGTGAATAGAAAAGAAGTTCAAGATTGTATAGATACCTATTTTATATTGTTGAAAACCAGCCAGGTTTTTAGTTAGTAATACTCCAAATGTTCCTGTAAAATACTAAATAGTAAGCGAAGTCCTTCATAATATTAAACAGAATATATTTATATTACAAAGACTACCAATAATGGCTAAATAAGAGTATTGTAGTCGAAGATGATATACTCGCACTAAATATAGATGCACATGAATGATTTAATGGCAAACAGTAAAAGTAATAAAAAAAAGTAGTAAAGTATAAAAAACACAATTTTTGTCTACTTACAGAACTCTACCAGCATAAATTCATTGTCGCCGATAGCTGCCTGGAAATTACTTTTCGTCAGGACCAAAACTCCTTCATCAAGTGTGATATCTTCAGAAAAAACGGATTTATTAACAACGAATAGTAAAAACACGAAACCGATTAGTTTAAACATACTGCCGTATTTTATAATTCCCCTATTAACCCTATAAAATGGAAATTAAAAACTTGCTAACATCAGCGTTAAATACAACGTGGCACTAGCCTGGAAATTAAGGGGACTGGCCTAAACGACTAGCAAATGGAAAAGAAGACAGTTCCCGTTATAAGATCGTATTTTTATTAAGAAGTTAATTTCACCGACAAAACAACATACACTTCGTGTGGAGATTTGATTGGTCGACGGTGATGATCTTGTCAACGTCAATGGTAAACTGTGTTCGTTAATTTGCCACGGAAACATTTAGAGTTTACAATAGATAAAGAGAAACCCACATTTCTACGATTTGAAAAGAGAGTACCGAATATGATTCAGTACTCGAGCCAGGTAGAAAAACAAATGTTTTTAAACGTCAGATGAAAATGGACGTGGTTAGAATTCCATATCTAGGATTTGAATCATTTACACTACATTACACGTCAGTGTATGTGAATTATTTATGTAATATGTGTTTTAGATGCACTTTTATAGCTATCAACATTTTTGTTTTAAATTAAATATCGTAAGTCGACTATTTTAGAATACGATAGATGATTTCTAAATTGCAATAAGTGCATATTTAAAATATTCTAGCAATATGTGATACAAAAAAAGTAGGTTCCAGTTTTTTGTATTCAGTTTATTATATATTATTAAACATAGCTATTTAGCATCATAGTCTATGAAGGCTTCGTTACTACTTGTTTCCTGTGACTCAATTATAGGAAGAGTATAGTATAATGTTAATCGGAACACAAGTCAATTTATAGTTCCATAAAATGTTGATTAGAAACACATTCACGCCTTGCTTCCGACTTGAACCCAGTACTTCCAAGGATATGATTTTTACATTTCTAGGCACTAGCAACTATCACTACAATTAGATACTTTTAATAATTAAAATAAATATTTTCACGAGATCGTAATACTAGTTACAAGTATGTTTGATCATTAGATTAAAGATGTCGCTACTGAATAAATCACGGATTTGGACTGAAAATGGCGTCAAAAATAAATCAAAAGGTTGATTATCGTTGTATGGTAGCGACAAATCGAACCAATTAAACACAAATTGAGAACATTCTTTATTAAAAAAATTATATTTTACACTATAAATACAAAGTTATAATATTGAAATCTCATTATCATATTAAATATATCACATTATGTCAATTGGGCAAAAACAAGAATTTTATACATTCTCAAATTTAAAGAATTTGCGTAAAGTTTTACGCATTGGTCTCTGTACAGTCCAAACAGTGACATACAAAGACGTAATAAACCCTAATAAAAATAAATATTTATTATTCCCGCTAGCCTTTACAAACCAATTGGTGTAAACACCCAAAATTAGTGCTAGCCCGCCGAATATCACAGAAAGCTTACCGCTAGCCACGTGTATAGCTTTATTCAGTGCTGGTTTTATGTAATTTTTTAGTTCTACATCAAAAAGAGCCGCTATACCGTTCAAAACAGCTGGTACACAACCTATCAAAGCTATTAAACCGAAAATTGCGTGCCAGGTTTTGAAATGTTCTTTGTTTTTATTATTTTTATTGATAATTATAACTATAAAACCGATAGCTACTAAAACCAGACTGATTGTTACGGCTATCCAATGATAACGGAGTTTTAATGTGTGGTTTAAACGTAATCTTCTTCCTATTGGGTTTTCTTTAGAGATGAACAATACACCCTCAGTCAAAAGTAACATCCACTGCAAACAAAAAAATAAATTATCTTTAATATTCGTCCCTGAATATGGAGCAACAAGCAATACAACGATGCATATAGAGTTGCCTACCCAACAGTTCAAAAACCACACATTTTTAAGCTGTGCCTAAAATTAAAATGCAAAAAGGCTTAAAGCTAATGCTACCAGCTAGCATTAATAAATAACAATTAACAAATTTGTTGTATTTTAGACCTGAATAAAAAATAAAAGTGTTACCAATAATATCAAAGAACAAATTTGTTGTTTTAGTTTAGACCAATGTTAAAATATTTGAAAATTAGCAGCAATAAAAAAATATCTAACGTAAATCCCAAAGTAATTATAAAAACCCGTTATTCATTTCATATAAAATAAACATAAAATACCAAGTTATGACATTTTCCAAGAAATCGGTGATATGAGTTAGTTGTGGCTAGATTGCCGCCATCCGGTATTGCAGTGATGTTTTCCATGACTTTAAGGCTACTGTTAATACGTACGATATTATGCAATAGGTGTTCTGACGTTTTCTATCGTAAATAGTTTTTTTGTCAGTTTTCATACATATTTTAACCGGCGATCGTCAGATTTTATTTAAAAACTTGGAAATATTTTTATTATACTATTGTTTAAAGCGTAGTTGATAGTGACCATAGTGATACAGCTGATATTTTCTAGTGTCTAATTTACCGGGTATTCCATGCCGAACTAGGCGAATTGCATAATAGTCGGTCGGCAATAACTTGTGGTTCGCCGATGAGTCACCCTCAAACAAAAATTATTTCAAAATTTAATTGTATAATTTTTATAATTTTTAAAAAATAATTAAGTATATCTCAGTGTGCTTCTTGTTGGTATTTTTTAAAGTTAACGCAAATCTCTCACTTATTGAAATTAACCCTCTTATTCAATACACTCTCCTTAATTTTGGTCCTATTAAATTTAATATTGACTATTAAATTAAAAGTTTTTTTAGCGCAGGCATTTCAAACTAAAGAACTGAAAAGAATTCTCAGTGGGAAGGGTTGGTATGTCTAAAGGGTTGCGACATACGATGTATTCCATCTACAATACGTGAAATCATGAATAATGAACTAAATTAAAATATTTTATGTCAAACAGAATAAAAATTAAAAAAAGCTGCTTATGGGTGAGATTACAGAACGTCTGCAACTTTACAGATCTGCAAATATGGCGGCAACTTTACAGTTCTGCAAATATGGCGGCAACTTTGCAGATCTACAAATATGGCGGCAACTTTGCAGATCTGCAAATATGGCGGACTTACATAATATGCATGTATCAAGTTTTCGTATTCCAAAAGAGATCTGCAAATTGGCAATATTTATTGTGGTTTATTACCCCCAAAAACACTAAACCCAAATCCATTACTCGATAATCTGACACCAAGAAACTGTATTCAATCAAAAGAAACAGAAGACTTCATGGTTGTAGGATGTTCTAACCTTCTTAAGAGTAGATTTGGATTTAGTGTTGTTAAGGGTAATAAATATTGCGAATTTTCAGATATTTTTTGGATAAGTCCGCCATATTTGCAGATCTGCAAAGTTGCCGCCATATTTGCAGATCTGCAAAGTTGCCGCCATATTTGCAGATTTGCAAACGTTCTGTAATATCACCCTATATCTTTTTCATAAATTGGTAGGCTTGGCAACTACTATTTCGAATCAAAATAATGCTTGAGATGGAAGGCTATGTCGCAACCCCCTTAGATATACCAGCCCCTTTATTGTCTGACAGGTCGTAGGAATGCCTAATTGGCGGGAAATTTTGAAACAAATTATATTAAGGGTTACGTTTACGCTATTGGAATGTTAAGCATAACTTTTCCAATGAGAATGACAGCAACTTGAATTAGTTTTTGGAAAGTGGAATTAAGTAAGATTAGATAAATAAATACGAAATATGAATAGGTACTTGTGTAACTCAATAAATTATTTTGTGACAACTTACCCCTATTGAAAGTAACAGAGGATGCCACGTAAAAAATTCAAACGGCCGCGAAAAGCACAAGTACAAAATAAGTCCAGTATACAACACCACGCAAATATGAGCAATCGTGGTCAAGTCGTCCTTCAAACCAGGTGGGGGCGCGGGTCTGGGTCCTTTTTTAAACTTTTTGTCATCCAATTTGGTGGGGTTTTCCCGTTTCTTTTCTTCAGTCACTGTCATTTCGATAACTTGTTCGCAACAGCGCGATCGAGAATCAACTGAAACTGAATGTGGTTTTGGTGGTTCTTTTGAAGAGTGTGTTGAAACTATTGAATTATCATTGCCGAGGCTTTCTGCTCCACTTTCCGTATCTATTGCAATCTCCGTACTTTTATCATGTTGCACGTACTTTTGATGAAGGCCAGCCATATGATTTCGTTAAATAAATAGGTAGGTATACCTTCTATAGTTATAACTTTTTAATTAATTGTGTGTAGAGGTATCCTAAAACTTTATTTATGTAGATAGGCACTTTTACTAATTAAGTAATTTATATCAGAAAATGTATAAGTATAGAAGCCGCAGTTTTGTAAATTACAAAACAATATTTTAAACGCACAGAAAATTTTATAAGTAGGGCCACTTATAAAATTATAATAAAGTTTTCTAATAAACTTTCAGCAATAAAATAGTAGTTCCCATCTACTTAGCGTATTTATATAAATTAACTGTTGATGTTATTATTGATATAGGATATGATAGTTTTTATTATGATAACCTTTTTGAACTTGGGGCTTTACATATTTATATCCTTTAGTAGGGAGGGAATGCTTGAAGTTGATTTTATATTAAAATTTAAATTGTGAAGACCGCCGGACCATTTGATAGAATGTCTAGACATTTTACAAAAGGCGGCCATATTGTCAAATTCTCGTTTAACATTCATTTTCCTATAGTCGGATTGTAAAATGCCTAGGTGTTTACCTATAAAATGATGGTCAACACGCGGCCAGATTGTCAAATGTTTAAGATTATCTTCCGTTTGACATTCTGGCGGGCCAAATGTTTTAGTCGTTCTGTAAAATACGAATTTTATTTATGGATTTAATGGGTCCACTATGTGAATTAAAACATCAAAATATTTTAACGAATATTTTACAAATTTTTTAATAACAATAAATGAAAGTGAAGGACAAATGAAACTGAAGAACAAATGAAACTGAAGAACAAATGAAACAAAGTTTATCAATCCTAGATGTCGCTAATTTTCAGAGGCCATTTTTTATTTCTTTCAAACTAGGTAAAGATTTTTATATTTGGCTATATAATGTTCGAAGATAAAGATATGTACATAATATTTTTTTTTTAAATTATGACTGTTTCTTATTTTAAACGGACATGGACTTTTACTATAAATAGCCAGAAATATGCACACACACATACTGCAGTTATATACCAGGTCACTTCAAGAGCTTCGCGCCATCATTGGCGCCATATAGTTTACATAACAAGCAGAAGAAAACTGTAAATTATCGTTTCGGCAACATATTTAAGGTTACGGCAGCCCCGGATCTTGAATTTTTTTGAGGCGGGGCAAAAACTGAAGAATGCCGCCCCCACCCGCCACTGATGGACATATGCCTCCCCCAAAGAACCCCACAACTACTGGTATACCGCTGCTCTTTCTCTATTAAGCCAATATTTTTTCAAAAAATATCAGGATGTGTTGGACTCGGACATATATTTTAATTAGGTAAGGACAGGATAGAGTCTGAATAAAACATGAGGTTAAAATTATTATTATATTACACATTGAAATTATAATTTTACTCTTCGAGCCTCTTGTTCTGCAAACAAATCTATGGCCTTATCATAATTAATTTGATGAGCAATTTGATTTTCTATTGCTAATATGGCAAGACTTGATAAACGTTCCTGGCTCATCGAAGATCGTAGATAATTTTTGATAAGTTTAAGTTTGCTAAAACTTGGCTCGCAGCTTGCGGATGTAGTAGGAAGCGTACAGTAAATTCTTAGAGCAATACAAATATTGGGAAAGGCATCCTGCAAATCATGCCTATAAATCTGTTGCAAGAGATTGAAAGCGCTAGCATTTTTTATATCTCCAAATAAAAGTGGACCTTGCTCTTTAAAAACGTAGAGTTCCTGGCAGAATTCAACCGCGTTTAAATCTAGCTCGTATTTTCGTCCCAGATCTGCTCCATGCTTGTGCAGTTAGTTCTTCATTTGACATATTAAAAATTTCAGTACCATTTAGAAATGCGAAATTCGAATTCAACGTGGCAGCACTATCAACCCTCTTTTTAATTTCTGATAAGATTCTGTTAAATACCATCATTGTTGCTTTGAGAAAAAAGTTGAACTGGTTGAAGTGTTCGTCATCATACATCTCTTCAAATTGTTTTTTGCACCTCGGAATTCGTTTATTTGGCAGAATAGGTTCGATGCCAATTTTTTCAGCAACTTCTTTGGCCTCTTCTATCCAATATTCAATTAAATTTTCTCTCATTTTTACTTTTCTATCTGTATATAAGGAAAATATAGGAATCATGATTTTTTTCGACCTCGAGTTTTCGACGGATTTTTACGTTTTGAGGTCCCCTGAATCCGTTTTAACTATTTTCGCGATGATGTCTCTGTGTGTGTCTGTATCCACCATAACTCATGAACCGATACACAGAAAAACACCAAATTTTATACTTAAGCTTTATTCTGGCGTCTAATGAACTTATTAGATTTTGAGCAGAGTCGGAACATCTGGGGGGTACTTTATAGGTGGTCATTTTTCTATTTTATGGAATATATCTGTTATTTACGTTTGGAGAAGAAAATTCTTCATATAAAAGTTACTTCTAATAATATTATCTATAATTTTTGTTCTTTACAAAATTTTCCTAAAATGGTCCGTATTCGAAAAATTTGACAAAATGTAAAAAATTTTTTTTTTTTTTTTTATAAAAATTGTTTAAATAAAAGTTGTTTGTAATATAATTCTCTATAATTTTTATCCTATACATAATTTCTCTAAAATGGACTGTATTCGAGATATTTGAGAAAATGTGTAAATTTCGAATTTTGAAGAAAACTCAAAAACGGATAAAGAAAAAAACATTAAATTTTAAACTTAAGTTTTATTTTAGCCTGACGTGAAATGATTAGATTTTGGACAAAGTCAGAACATCTGGGGGGGTACTTTATGGGAGGCCGTTTTTATATTTTATGGAATATATCTGTTATTTATGTTTGGAGAAGAAAATTGTTCAAATAAAAGTTACTTCTAATATTATCTATAATTTTTCTTTGTCAAAATTTCCTGAAATGGTCCGTATTCGAGAAATTTGACAAAATGTGCAAATTTCTGATTTTTATGAAAATTGTTAAACTAAAAGTTGTTTGCGATATCGATCTCTATAATTTTTGTTTATACATGATTTTTCTAAAATGGACCGTAATGGAAATATTGTAGGAAAAGTGCTAAATTAAAATTTCGGTTTTCCATTCATTCGAATCCGAGTGATCCGATTCAGATTCTTTGCATTCTGTCTCAATTCTTTCAAATTGTTCTTGCACTCTCGCAGTTTGGCTAGACGATGCAGGTGATAAATTTTGTTCATCAGGATCGTGCAAAGTGCAAGAAATATCCTCTACTTGAACATCTTCGCAAGCTGTGGCAGGTACTGACGGGCCACCGCCTCCGCTGAGCCACTTTTTTATCTTTTCCGCATATTGTTTTCCCTGAAGGACTCTATCTTTGGCCTTTTTGCTATATTCCGCTCCCGTTTTTTCTTGGTGCGCTCATAATTTCAACCTATAAAACATAAATTTCATGTGTTGAACACAGTGTGAAAAATATGTATTGTAATGACTTTGTAAACCTCATTCTTTGCAAAACTCAACGATACGCGTTTCGTTCCGCAAAATTGCATTCGGTGTACAATACTTGTTTTTCCTAACCCAACCTCATATACCAATTTTCATGACAAAATTAATATTTTTAATTTATTGATCTATACACGAAAATGATTTTTTTTCTCTTTAATTTGATATTTAGTGTGCCTTGAAAAGTAACATTTTAACAGTGTTAAATGTCAATCATTTTATAGTTTTTTAAAACACCAATAACTTTAAAAGAAAAAATCGAAATAATTTGATTGTTAGGAGATTATACTTCTATAATTTTTTTTATTACTACACATACACCCAGATAAGTCTAATTAATTTTTTTACCTTTTTTATTTCTCACTATTTATATATGAGATATAATAATAAAAACAGTAACAGTGAACACAGATAACATCCACAAAAATATACAGGCAATAAAAACACTTTCAGTAAACACAAAGTACCAATAACTTCAAGAACAAACTTTTTCAAAAATGAAAAGCACAATAAATTTAGATTGTAGCTTTATTCCTTTATATATTATCCTAACTGCTTTCCACAAATCAGATATTTGTTTTCCCCAAAGTAAGAATCATTCTAAAGTCATTAGAAGGATTTCTAACTAAAAGAATTATGGATTATGACAGGTAGTACAAAAGGTGCCTAATATGCTTAACAGATATTTAATTTTGGGAATTTTTAAAGCTAATATCGTTTTAAAATCACTCAACGTTTTGGGCAATTGAAAACCTATCCGATTATGGATTAAGCTCAAACCCCTATTTATGAAAAAAAAAATATTTTACTATTTGCCGCCCTGGGCACGGGGTCCGCCTTGCCCCCCCCCCCCCCCCCTAGATCCGGGGCTGGGTTACGGCATTGTTTCATACAACGGTTAAATGGAATGGTTACGGCGTCAGCATAAATTTCCTCTTTTTTCCAAGTTTTTATTTTGTAAAAATCAGCCATAAGAGCCCTAATTAGTATAATATGCGCATTTTGTCAACAAGTTTAATGCACAACGAAACTTGTGCAGGCCCGCTTTACGATAATAAAATTACCTAGTAGTTGTTGAAAAACAGCCTATGCTGACAGTCCGCCTAAGGGGTCTATTCTGTAACAATTCCTTTATATTTTAACGGCCGTTACTTAAGCGGATTCCTTTAAAATAATCCTTAAATAACAATAATTTTTAAAGAGATGATAAAATTCGCCTTTAATTTTTAACGGTTTTGAATTGAAAATTGAGGATTTGTATAGTTATGTTTTCAAACTAGTTCAAATAAATCTTAAATGCGATGTTGTCAAGTGTTCTCCTGCCATTTTTAAGAGAATCCGTTAAAATAAATAATTTTTAACAGGCCTCTAAAATGATTCCGGAACCACGGAATTTTATGCCTACATAATTTAGTCAAAATTAGAAAAGAAAACTTGTAAAAAATGGCTATTACGTCTTTAAAACACCCTTTAAAGGATTTTATTTTAATTATGTCTTCAAAGGTGATCAAAATAAGAAAACAAACTTTTCAGACATTTCCAGCTTTTCCAATAGGGCCATCTAATAATATTTAGCGAGTAAAGAAATGAAATAGAAAAGTTTATAATTTTCAGAAATATTTATTTACTTACCACAAAATGATCAGATTTCTTAAATTATTCCATTACACCTTACCTGATACATACCTACCATTTATAGATTCTTTTTATGGAAAAAACGATCGATCAATCGTACAAAAAATATATTTTAATCTTAAAAGCTTAAGTAGGTACATAAAATCGTTTGCCGTTTTTAACATTTTTTGTTTTCAGATTGAATGCAACTGCAACGAACCCAAAAACACTAACAATAGTACAATACATTTCAAAATTCACAGCCAACATAACAGCCCATATCGATACAATATTTCACCACGTATCTCCAATAGGTATCCTGGCACAATAGTTTAGGATTTCCGATAACGATCAAAAGAGATTTAGACCTAGAAATGGCGACGTTCAGTCTCTTGGGACTGGCCACGAAACCTAAACTGTGCGCGATATCAGAAGAAAGGTACTCTTCACAAGATCGTACCGTCGATAGAATGATAACATCGAATTCCTGGCCTTGGAACTCTTCTATAGTCCCGATTCTCGGGACGTCGAATTCAGCTTCTGACAGCAGTGATCGGATCTCTTTAACCTGAAAATTAAATCAAACAGAAACAGAAATTGTAAAAAGAGGATCAGAAGAAATAACGGAACCAAATATAAACCTTGGAAGTACCAAAAAGTACAGTTCGAGGTGTCATACAAGACTGGGTTCAGTAAAAACACAAGTATTGGGAGAATGTCCCAAAACAAGCAGATTGGAAAACCTTCATAAAAAAACCGTGTTCAATAAGAACAGGAGAACTACTATTTATAAATTGGATCCAGTTAAAAACAATGACAAGACTCATGCCAGTAAAAAGACAACTGAACAAAATAGAACTTTGCCACAACGAACATTGGATCGTAAAAGTTAGTTTGATCCAAGAGCCTATAGAGCACACTATGTCAAAAACTTGTAGAAACTTGCACAAGGGACAAAGGTGAGAGAATGGATCACATACTTTGATTTTCTTTTACTATACGGAGAATGGTCGCACTGCGCAGCTTTCTGAGTGCCTTTTAAAAGGTAATAGAAAACTTCGCCATTTTGAACCCTTATTACGTGTTGCCTACATCTTGGCGCAATATTTTTAATAGGTGCGTTTTAATCATCCGCTTCTGCTTCGTAATTGTCGGTTTTCTTGTTTTAATCTGACAGGTTAGAACGACTGAACCGACAATTCCGGAAGCAGAAGCGGATGGTTAAAACGCACCTGATATTTTGCTTGCTGCTGTCAGTGTCAGTGAATGTTATTTTTGGAGTCACAGTTTATTGCTAAAGAATCAGTTAGCTCACTCGAACCAGTTGAAAGTTCCAAAATAACATCCACTCCAGGGATACAAATTCAGGATACGCAGAAGACTGCTGTTTTATTATAGGCGGTTGTCATATATTGTAATATCTAAGTTGCGCAGTGTATAAACTGGAACATTGAGATAAAAAGTGCAGACGCAGAGTGAGCGATCTGATTCTTTAGCTATAAACTGTGTCATAGGGTTCAAAATGGCCGCGCCCTATGTTGGGCGTGTCGGACCTCTCTCTTGCCCCGTATAGTAATCAAAGTATATGGAATGGATACTATAAAGTATAAACTAATATGAGCCAATAGGCTGCAGTGTTATCAAAGACTGTCAGACGAGCACAAAAAAAAATATTATTGAAATTCAATTTAAGTTTAAAAGTAAAAAAAAATCACTCGATTGAGGGACTCGATCAATTCGGCAGTTTTGCTGAATTATAATACAAAGGTGTTATAGAAATTGTACCCGGCTGAAGAACATTTGGTTGTACTTAATTCATAACCAACAAAGTGAGTGTATTACAAATTTGATTTATTAACCCCACTGCTGTTCATAATCATAATGGAGAAAATAGTCAAGACTATAAAACAAGGTGAAAGCTTAGAGATGAATCAGTTTTTTTAAATAGTTGAATGGCTATGGTAGGAACCAATTAGACAGACTCTTTTCGAGTCAGTTCGATTAAACAATTCGCTATATATGCATATGGCGTGGTACTAATGGCAAAATAAAAAATTCACAAACTAATAAACCTATGAACATAAGAATATAAAAGTAATTTTAAAAAACCGACTCCAAAATCGTGCAGATACCAGTACAAATTGAGATCCCATAATCAGATCTTGACCAAATGTATATGGGACCACTTCTGGGATACCTCATTTCTAACAAAAAAAGAATAATAGAAATCGGCCAACGTTGCAAAGAAATATCGTTGAACATACTTTAAAAAATTCAGACAAATTGGGAACCTCCCCATTTTCTGAAGGTTAAAAAGTAAATACATATTTTTGGTCGTTGATTAAGAATCTAAGATTAAAAATTTAAAAAACAAAATGGCTGATATCCAATATGGCGGACAAAAGATTAAAATTTGTCGTTGAAATAAAATTTTAATTGTAGGAATTTCTGAGGTCGTTGATTAATAATATGATCTAAAAATATTGGAAAACAATATTGCGGATTCAATATAGGACAACAATTTATAAAAATATTCTAACTTTCATAAAATTTCTGATATAGGAATTTGCTAGGTGGCCGACTAACTTAAAATTAAAAATTTAAAAAACGAAATGTCAGTTCGAATATAGCGGACAAAAATGATAAAAAATTATATTTTCATAAAACGATTAGAATCTGAAATAAAAAATTTTAATACCACAATGGCGGATAAACATAAAATTTTCAATTAATTAATGAAATTTTGAACATAGGCAACTCATTGAGAATCTGATATAAAAAATCGAAAAAAAAAGGCAGATCCAATATGGCGAACGAAAATTAAAAAATTGTTTAATTTTCATAAAATTTTCGATATAGGTCTTTTTAAGGTAACCGATTAGAAAACTGAAATTAAAAATCTTAACAATAAAATGGCGGATCCCATATGACAGAAAAAAAATTTATTTTCATAAAATGATTAAGAATCTAAAATAAAAAATTTGAATACGACAATGGCAGATCTAACATGGCGGACAAACATTATAAAAATTGCAATTATTTAATGAAATTTGGATCACGGTCCCTGATTTAAAATATGATCTAACTAAAATTTGAAAAACGAAATGGCGTTTCAAATATGGCGGACAAACATAAATCATTGAAATTTTTAAATTAAATTTTGATCATATGATTTCCTGAGGTCGCTGATTGAGAAACCGATTTACAAAATAGAAAAGCAAAATGGCGGCTTCAATATGGTAGCCAAATTAAAAAATGGTAAATTTTCATGAAATTTCAAATATAGACCTTTTTTTAAATAGCTTATTAAAAATCAAAAATTCAAAATTTAAATAAATAATGGCGGATCCAATATGGCGGAAAACCATAAAAAAACTTTTGAATTAAATTTTTATTACAGGGTTTCTTGAGATCGCTGATTGAGAAATTGTTAAGAAAAAGCAAAATGGCGGATCCAATATGGCAGACAAATTAAAAAGATCAATTATAATAAAATTTTATATATATATGCGTTTTCTGGGTAACTAATTAAGAATAGGAAATGAAAAATTTAAACAAAATGGCGGATCTAATATGGCGGACAAACAAAAATTAAATTTTTAAATTAAATTTTTATTACAGGGTTCTCTGAGCTCACCGCTTGAGAATCTGAACTGAAAAAATTTTTAAAAATGAAATGGCGTATCCAATATGGAGGACAAATTAAAAGGTCTTGTTTTTATTAAATTTTGGATATAGGCGTTTTTAGGTAACCGAGTAGAAATTAAAAATTTTAAAAACAAAATGGCGGACAAACATAAAAATTACCCTTTTTAAATAGGGTTTCTTGAGGTCGCTAATTGGGAATCTTGATTAAAAAAATGGAGAGCAAAATGGTAGATCCAATATGGCGGACAAATTAAAAAGGTCATAGTATCATAAAATTTCATATATAGGCGTTTTCTAAGTAGCTGATTTGAATGAAAAATAACAAAATGGCGAATCTAATATGACGGACACACAAAATGTAATTTTTGAATGAAATTTTGATTACATGGTTCCCTGATATCGCTGATTCAGAAACTGATTTAAAAAATGAAAATCAAAATGGCGGATCCAATATGGTAGACTAATTAAATAAGTTCGAATTATCATAAAAGTTCGCACATGGGCGTTTTCTAGGTAAATAATTAGGAATCTAAGATGAAAAATTTAAATAACAAAATGGCAGATCTAATATGGCGAGCAAACATACACATGTAATTTTTAAATGAAATTTTGATTACAGGTTTTTTAAAGTCACTGAGAATCTGATCTAAAAAAATTTAAAAAGCCAAGTGTCGGATTGAATACGGTCAACAAAAGTCTAATTTTCATAAAATATCGGTTATAAGCCTTTTCTAGGTAGCTGATTAAACATCTGCAATTTAAAATTGTAATAGGAAAATGGCGGATCCAATATGGCGGCAAAAAATGATAAAAATGTAATTTTTGAATGACATTTTGATTATTACCTGTTTTATGTAAGGAGTAATGATTCCAACGCCGCTCGATTTCACTCCTAACCTATAAAATTCGTTTACATAATGAAAAATCTGCGCGGCTTCTTGTGGATTGAACCAAGACGGCGAATCAGCGCTTTGATAATTGACACCGTCCACGCCGTGAAATATAATTTGACCAACGCGCCCTCCCGCTGATTTCTTCGGCAGAATCTCTTGAAGAGTGCTCAACAATTTTGCTTCTTCGCTATGTTCTTCATCGATCTAAATAAAAACGAAGCTAGAAGGGGTGCCGTCAGACTAATAATCGTAAGCAGGCATTGCGGCATTTGTTCGCCCTATCGAGTCATTATAAGTCACTCCCACTGGGCGCGACATTATTAATAACGTCTGTCACATTAATATCAGCATAACCCTACTTAATTTACTACAACTAAAAATTTTAATATTAATTATATAAAAGAATTTAGAAAAAAAGGTGGAAAATCGCTTAAGATACAAAAACTAAAGTATGTAAAGCAAGTGAAACCTAATCAATGAAAAAGAAATAAAAATTTGAGAAAGAAAAGAAAAAAATGAGTGCAGCGATCTTGGATCGAACCTGGATCTTCAGAGTATAGCTCTCGATGACTTTAATAGTTACACCACCGGGCGTAGCTTTTGATGACCCGATGACTAAAAAAAAAAAAAAAAATGGAGTACCGCAATACCTGCTACCAAACTTACAGTTGCGATTAGTTCATCACTGTAAAACAATTTGTTGTACAAGTTCAGAATATCCGGAAGGGCTCTGTAATTATACAGCAATTTCGTAACCAATCTCGGATCGAACCCGGACGTTTCCGGGAAACCTTCGGGATCTCTGATATAGGGGAACCTGTTAATCAATCTTTCCAAATACGATTCATTTAGACCGCATTCCGAAGCTATTTTGCAAATAATTACAGGCCCTAATTGCATGGGATCGCCTAAAAAAAATACATGTTTTGAGAAAATAATAAAATTTCGAACATGTGCTAACCTGCTAGTACAACTTGTCCGGAATTTTTATCCAAGAGTGCCATGGGAATCATGACGTCAGGTTCGGCGGCCTGAGCGGCTTCATCGACGATGATATGAGTGAAATGGCCTTTCGGTAAGTTCATGTTAAAAAACTGACCGGAAGCGCTGCATGTGGCAACGGTGATTCTGTGCCGACCTAAAGTCGATTGACAACACTCTAAAAGCAGTAAAATTCAATTGAAAAGAATATTAAGGGCGTGACAAAGTAAATCTTTAATCAATACATTCTACATAGACGGCAAAAACTGTATTACTAGCGCGATTTATAATTTGTCTTTTCAACCGTTTTATATAAATTAGAACCGGTCTAAGTACGGTACCTTGAGGAACTCCTATTTTTACGTACTCTGGTTGGTTAATAAACTGTTAGATTTGGATGAACTGTTTTCGTTTGTATAAATATAATTAATCCAAAACTATGCCCCTTATTCCGATATATTTCAAAATTTCTAATAGCTTTTAATGGTTTACTGTATTGAATGCCTTGTCCAGGTCCAAGGAGATACCAATAGAATATTTACTATTATCAAGAGCATTGTTAATATTGATATTGGGTAAATTCTGTTAGTGAGATGACAAAAGGACATTTTTTAATTAAAATTTTTCACTTACCAAGCTTTATGCCCCCAGTGGAAGAAATATCAGTAAAACTAGTATCTTCTTTGGCATTGCTGGCAGTGGCGCAATAAGGTACCAACTTAGCCGGAATCATATCGCTCATCGCGTAATTATAAGAAACGATTCTAACCAGATCTCCCGGCACAAGTACCCCTGAATCAATCAGCCTCAAAGCTATCAAATCAGCAGCGCTATTGGAAGGAGCAGTCACCAATAATCTTGAAGCCGGCAACAATCTAACTATTTGCAAAACAGTTTCGATTACTGTTACGGTCTTTCCCGTACCGGGAGGACCGAAAATAATGTACGGCAGAGGCCTGGCTTTACCCCACAGGATGTGTCTCACGGCGTTCTTCTGTTTCGGGTTCAATTTATTATTGTACCATTCCAATTTGACTGCGGTGCTGCCGTCTGTGAAGGAATTTAATATTATTATGGAAAATATCGTTCTAGGAAACTGTAACGTCATTAATTTTATTAAAATTTGGCGTAAACTCTAGATACTTTACAAAGCAATACGTATGTCCCTATAGCTCTGACGAAAAGTGTGGTACTGATGTGGTAGGACCTTCATCCAGGAAGAACGCACTGAACCGAGTTAGCAACAATAAATCTACAGTTGGTGGAACAAGTGTTTCAGAGTATAGACGAAGAAACAAGAAACGCTGTTCTAGAAAAGTTTAACGAAATAGTCCACAAAAATTTGAAAAAAAACCTATTTGGGAGGGTTGATGTAAATTGCAGCTATTCAAAGATAAGAGCGTACTTATTCTCACAAGTATTTTGTAAAGTTCAGCTAACCATCAATTTGTAGACTCATTTTTGATTTAATCCACAGCATATCAAGCAAAGCTGCATACCTCATTGCTCAAATTTTTCGTGGAAAAAATGTCGCAGCACCATTAATTACGTAAGCACAAAATGGGAGAGAAGAATCCGGCAAAATCTTACCGAATCTAATTTAAATATTAAATAAACGTCCACAAACAAAAATTTCTTAAATAGTAATAAAATTCGAAAATAGGCTGGAATGACTACACGAGGTGGATGTAGATACGTCTAATAACTGTCTTCCTATAATACCAATAGACATAGACGTCATGAGTCCAATCACTACCATGGAATGAATGAATAATTGAACATAAGATCTTGTTTCTCCTCTTGTATAATGGGAAAAATGTAGAAAATATCAGGATTATCGCTTAGGTATTTAGTGGTATAAAATACATGAACATATCAAATAAATTTAATTACTCAAAAATTATAGAGTAAATTTCACGTGAGGGGGAATGAGGGTCCCATCACTTCTTACCAAATTCCTCCAAAACAAAGGCTCAGATAAGGCCGTGGCAGGCCCAAAACCCTTCTATGAAGTTGGTAAAAAGGACAAACTATTAGGATAACAGTAGGTCTTCCTACCAGACACTGTCCCCTAAGAAGGCAGACAAGTGTTATCAATCCAGCAGAAGATCAACATTGTACAGTTTATGTGAACAAGAAGAGGAAATATCAATCCCTGTCCTGTGCCAGTGTGAAGTGCGTATATACCATTTTATATGCCGTGACCTTATTTATATACTTACTTACTTGCTGCATTAGCTACAGAAGGGGCACAATAGATCTTTAAGGTCGTAGTGTACAAGTCCAACAACAGATCTGAAATTGTCGCGGTGGACAAGGACAAATAATGCCCAACTCCTTCAAAATCTAATCTAATCTTTCTTGTAACAAACTGTTTTTAAAGTGTCTAGAAAGTGTATGCCAGATTCCACGAAAATGAATAGCGTTTCAGTTTCCTCTATAACTACCTACCTACCTTTATTTATATGTTTTTGAATTTTGTTTATCACATCCAACGCTTTATTTCTAGGCGACGTCGTTGAGACATCTTTATCCCAATCGAAATCAATTTGCGGTTCTTTCTCGACAATTTTTGCGGGAAATAGTAACTGCTGGCCCAAATTTCTCGCTGCTAAGTGTACGGCGTGGTGTAACCGTTTATACGAACCTCTACCGGGTACAACTTTAATCGAATAGTCTTCACCGTTATAACTGTCATGGAATAGTTGATTAAATTTGATGTACACATGTTTCGCTCCGACTTTATGTATGAAACCTTCGTAATCTAAACTTTTGACATTCATCGGATCCGTCGCTATGATTCTATCTCCAATGATGAGCGATGGTCTTCGTTCTGATAGATTTTCGATTTCTAACATTAAAAATTCTGCGTTTCTGATGAAACAAGCTCTGTCTTGATCGTAGGTTCTGATAGCCACCAAATTAGCTATCTCGTCAAGATGCAACAGCGTGTGGAACTTATCTTCGTAGTTTAAAAGAGTTAGATTCGAAGTTAATGATGGTTTTACTACTTTTAGATGATCGATAAGAATTTCGATGTTTTTAGAATCGAAATTCGATATTGCATCGATAAGTCTTTGCGGTATTAAATAATTCGGTAATCGCGCAGCTGCGAAACGCGATGCTCCTCCACTTTGTCCACGTATAAGCTCGTTTGTAGATTCTTCGTGTAGTTGCAATTTTGGTTTATACTCGTAAGGAATCTTCTCATTAGTTGTATTAATTGTAACTAAAATATCGGCCCATTTACCTATTGTAAATTGCTCAAAAGTTAATATAAAAAATTCCTTGTTATGACCGACGTTTTTAGTAAGACATTCGCATGGAATCTTATGGGACTTCTCTGGTAACAGTGCGATATTTTCATTATCGCTAACAATTTTGCACTGATAATTATCATTAATAAACTCAGCTGCCTTTAAATTCAAAATTTCTTCCGTATTATTTTTAATATCGATGAAAAATTTCTTTGCTTCGCCCAATTTATTGAAAGTAAGATTTACATCGCTGATGTTTAATCCCGGATAACTGTCTTTACAATCTGACACGTTCATCGGGGATTTAGTCACTTTTTCGTATTTTTTGGACATGGATTCGGGTAAAAGTTTAATAGCCCGCCATGAACATCGGTTTTGATCGCTTTCTATTACTTCTGAAACTATTCTATCGCCTAATAATGGTACGTAGCCCATCGAAAGAGCTGCTTTATTAAAAAATATTTTGTTGTTAATAGTTCCAACCTAAAATTATAATAATGAAATTAAAATATTGATGTTAAAAATTCGTATTAATCTGATTGATATTTATAAAAGAAGGAGATTATGGTCAATAATTTCAAATTTCAAATCATTTTTCATTTGTGTGGTTTTGACCAGTGGTTGAAAAATATCGATTGTACTATCGATAATTATAGATATTATGAACTATCTAATAATATCGATACTTTTCGTAGACTGAGCGATAGTATCGATTTTTTTTGTACTACTCTAGATACGGTCGTTTTTTATACCATTAAACGATAAAACTAAATCTTAGTTTAAGTGTAGCTGCTGACGCAAGAAAAATTTAATATTTAGAAAGACCTAATGCTCCAGAGTAAACGTGCACTATATTTTTTAATTAATTCTACATTTTCATTTTAGGTAAAAGATTTCGCCGAGCAATGAAAAACAATACTACTTTTCTTTAATATTTCAGACATTTGTAGCTAAATTCTAATGATTTAAATTCTCTGTCCCTTTTATGTTCAAAGTATTTGTTTAAACCAGAACCATTGGCAGAATCTGAGCGAAATATTAGCACTCAGACCGAATAAAACCTAAAAATATAGACCTAATAATAATATTTTTGGCTCTAAACTTGTTATCCCTATCAATATAAATATTCTTTTATTGCTTAAAAAATCTAATTCTAATAGAAATTTCTTTAAAAAAATAAATATTTGTAGTACTATCGAATATTATCGAAATTTATCGATAGTATGAGACGAGATTTTCGATAATTATTAAACACCGCAACAATCGATATTTCTCCATAATAATAATCTTTATTTTGAGGAACAATCATAATACATATAAGTAAGACAATTCTTAAATAAAACAGTGTCAAGGAAAATATATTAATGATCACATAGAGTAATATTCATTAATTGTATATGGTTCTAAATTAATTAACAATTCATGTACTTCCCTTTTAAATACTTTAACATTTGTTAATCTTTTTATTGCATCAGGCAGTTTATTCTCGAGTTTATTGTACAAATTTACACAGCTGTACCCTGCTTCATGTTCTGTAGCTGTCAGCCTATGTATTGGATATACTAGGTTTATATTTCTCAATATATAAGCATTTGTTGGTTCAAAATTTGAAAATAAACCTCTATTTAAAAAAACAAGCATTCCTGGATGTATATGTCTATCACAGTTAGGATTTTATTTTCTCTAAATTTACCTCTATACGACTCTCTCATATTCAAACTGAGCATAAACCTCATTCTTTTTTGCACTAAAAAAAAAACCTTTCAATTGAATTGCTCCCACCATAGAATATTATCCCATATCTAATTCTGGATTCAAAATTTGCAAAGTATACCATTTTTAAACTATTCCATTCCATTTCTTCACAACTCTGATGCTGTAACAGATCTGGCTCAGTTTTGTACATACAAACTCAACATGGCTTTCGCAGCACTGAAAACTATCAATATATATCCCCAGAAACTTGGTACTAGTTGAGACTTTAAATATACAGTTGTTTAGTTGAATATTTATTGGCATTTCATCTATGTTGTAATTGGATTTAAAAAGTACCACATTTGTTTTGCCCTCATTGAGTATTAATTTATTTATTTCAAACCATTGTTTAGCTTTAGTTCTCTCTCTCTCTCTCGCGCGCGCTCTCTCTCTCTCTCTCTCTGAATTCAGGGTTAATTCCATCATATTAGATGCATTTATTAAGATATTTGTGTGCATAATTGGTTAGCACACAGTTCTCATTAGCAATCATAATGCTGTTTAGTTTCATTAACATAAATAATAAAAATCAATGGACCTACTATACTTCCCTGAGGTATTCCTATATTAGATGTTATTTCTACAGGTCTACCTTCCTCATTATTTTTATATATTTTAAAAACCTGTTTCCTATCCTTAACATATGATTTGAACCACCCTAATGCAGGCCCCCTAATTCCATATTTCTCCAGCTTGTCCAGCACTATCCCATGGTCTAGACAATCGTAGGCTTTGGACAAGTCCAAGAGTAGGCCCATACGTCACGTTTTTTGAAAAGAGGTACTATGCAGGCTATTTTTAATTGATCAGGAAACACCCCAAATCGAAAAGAGTTATTTATTATATATACTAGTGGATTCACAATTTGCTCAATACATTTTTTAATCATTTTTGTTGGTAGCTCATCTATACCACTACTCATCTTATTTTTGAATTTCTTCCCAATCTCTACAATTTCCATTGCAGTTACTGGTATTACATATATAGACTTTAAGTAACTAGATATTGTACTTACATAATTACTATTACTTAGGCCAGAGATTACATCTGTTATTGACTTTTCCAGAAAAGTAATAAAATTGTTTGCTACTGTTGATGCCTCCCCCAGTATTTGTATAGTATGTTGGTTATTTTTGCCATTTATATTACTCACTATTTGCCATGTTGTTTTAGCTTTATTGTCCAAGCCAGATATTTGTTTTCCAAATGCTTTCTTTTTTCTTTCTTTTTTGTTAGAGGGTTTCTCTTTGACTTTTTTCAATGGGAAACATATATTGAAAACGTATAAAAAGGTGCACAAAAAAAGATTCCCATTGCTTATTAATGTCAAACTTGTCTACCTGTTTAATGAATTCCCAGTTAACCTCTTTCAACCTATCTATAAATTCATTTGCTCTGCTTTTGACAAGCATAAAGCCAGTATTGATTGACAAGAATGACAAGTAATACCCATCTTAATACAGAATATTTTTCAATTGTGTTGAACACTTTCAATTATATTGATGTCCCTTTGATGATAGGGATGCAATTAATTATATTCAACATTAGATCTCATTAGAAAATATAACCGAACCTGATACAAGGTGTATCAGCTTCTAAAGTTCTAACTACAATACCTTAAGTAAAACAAAAGGAAATAGTAAATTTTTGTTATAATGGGAAATAATTTTCAATAACAAAAAAAACTATCAACTAGGGGTATAATGATAAATTTATATGCTGCACTATTCACTATTTAAAATAAAATCTTACCTCTTCATTGTGCTTCCAACTAGTTATTTTCCCAGTTTCAATATGCAACCTCACTGGAGATACTCTGTTAATTTCTATGATTTTCCCACTTAAATCCAAATTATTTTCATTTACCATACATTTAACATCAAGTTCTAACCAATCTCCAACCATTGGTAAAAATTCTAAAGGTACGTCATCCAAATTAATAGCGATATCTGTTTCAGATAGGAATAATTTTCGTTCAACTCGTTTTTCAACTTGACAAATGATCATTCTACCGTTCCATATAGAATCAGAATTTTCTATCGAATCCCATTCATTGTTAATGGGTGATAGATTTACTACTTTAAAGGTATTATCTGAATTAAATAAATTATAGGAGACTGTGGAACCTATGGTTAAGTCCAGTATTGAATTCATTGAAAAAACGTAAGTACCATCTATAATGTAGTTATCGTTAATTATATCTGTAATTTTACCAACTTTTGTAGACACTAGATTATCGGGAATGTCGTATTTGGTTTGTTTTTCGGTTTTATCTTCATTGTCAACGGCTTCTAAGAGTTTACAGGCCTTTTCCAGTGATAATTCTTCTTCTACTTCAGATTTACTTAAATACGACGATATGGAGTTCCCCATAGTGTTTATTTACTTTTTACTTTATTGTAGTATAACATTCATTATTTCATTTTAAATTTAAAGTAAGTAAATACGAGTTTAACGAGTTTCTTATTTGAGGTTAGGTGTTATGTTTACATCACAGACATCGATAAAGGAGATAGGAAATGTCATTTTCATCAGGCACGTAAGGCGAGTTCGGTCAGTCAGGGGCTGGAGCGGGACAAATTTTAGGGTGCTTTTAAATGACATTTAAGCGTGTTAAACTGTCACTAATCGGACTAAACCGAACGCTAAAAGAGTCGTTTGGAGTTAAAAGTGTTAAAGGAGTTAAAGGAACGTGGCAAACCGAACGCAATGGTAGAATTGAAGGCGGCCATCTTTACAAAAAAAGCGACCTACGCACTTGCGCATTGATTGCATATTGAAGTGTACAGGATAGGACTAACACATTTAAACATAATTCGAAAATATTAAGAATTTACTTATACAGTAGAAGTAATAACCCTAAAAACTCGTAATAGAATTTTAATTTTCTTTTTTTGTGGATTTTAAGAGATTTCCAAAAATAAAAAACATCATAGTTTTTTTTGAAACTTTATTTTAAATTAAATAAAAACAGAATATATTTAAAATACAATTTTATATGAAATTAATACAACAATCTAAGGCCGTCATACATTTTGTAGCAAATAAATCTGGAATCACGTGATTTAAACAAAACTTTCATATTAAAATTTGTAATTTTGTATGTAATTATTACATGGGATTGCTAAGATCTTGAAAGTATTTCATTTTATATAAAAACTAAAAAACTAAGGAATTCAAAAATATTTGTAATATCGTTCCACAGTACTATGACATGCACTTGAGCATACATTAAGAATCATCAATCAAAATAAATAAGAGATTATGGGCATATTCCTACTAATGAATAGAGTAAATTTAAAACTAGATATTATAAGAAGCATGTAGTCAAATATTTTATTAAAAAAGGGAAATAAATCCAAACTTTAACGTTTTCCTTCAAAAAACAACTACTTCTTTGGCTAATTCCGCAGCAGACATTGAATTATATCCAAAGAAAACAACAAAGTTAAAAAATTCATATTTCAATATTCAAACTTTGTTCTTGCTTACCATAGATAACGTTATTCTTGGACCGGTTTTGTCGTTATTAGGACTCATCAGCAAGAAATAGACATTCTCGATTTCGGTCACTAAAGGAATCTGAAAAGGCGGTAAATTCACCCGCTTACATAGACGGAGGTTGTGAGAGAATAAGTAGTAACAAAGCTTCGATTTTGCCAAGTGCGAAGGGTTTTACTTTTTTTTATCTTGTGTAATAAATACTACAGTAAATATATGTTAATATTGGGTTATTAAACATAAAACAATTATATTACATTAGAAAATGGCACTAATAAATTATAAATGAAAAAAAAAGCTATTTAATAAAAGTTAATGAGGAACAAAAAATACAAATTTAGTTTTTTAAATTTTCATTGGGGTTTCAACAATGTCTTTAATGTTTTTATTAATCTTGATATGTGATTTTCCTATAAGGGTAGATACTCTTTAGATAATTATAATTATTGATTTCTCGAAACAAGTTTTTATTTTAAACTAATTGAAAATTAACATTTTTTAGCAGGTAATTGATTATGTGATTAAAAATACTTTTTTTTTAAGATAATTCGACAGTTTTACACTAGTACTTACAGCCGAAACTGTTTTATATTACCCTATTTTGTCCTAAAAAATAATTTTCAATAATTTTATTAGCTGTTGCGCTAGAAAGTGTATCTTGCCCAGCAGAATATTTTATTTTTTTTTGCAATATAAACAATGTTTTCTGAAATATTTAACAACTTAATTACATTCTGTATAATACAATAATTTAACTTTTCCATCCTGGCTCCAGGAAAAAGGTATGGAACACAATGCCATTGAAAAGAGAGAAATAAAATAATACGAATGAGTGTGGACCGCAACAGCCCATGCTTGCCATCGAAAGGGTATGGTAAAATCAATTACTATCTTTATCGCTCTCACATCCAAATACAATTAAGCGTCTCATCTTTATTACGCCTGATGCGTCGGCTTAAGATACCGTACATTTTTTGACTATATTTAAATAAATAAATAATGTTTATTGAGCAACTATAAATACTTTAGTGTCTCAAAATGAATGAATTCGGCTGAGCCGTTTTTCAATTGATCCTCATTATAACAGAAAAAATGTTCACAAAATAATTATTTTAAATTAAATCATTGTCTTGAAATAAGAACTTGCCTAATAGTCTTAACAAAATGATTAAAATTCAAATTATTAAGTTCTGAATTTAACAATAATGGTGCTACGTATCTAAAACAACCTTGGAATTTTGAAGTTCTATGCATTGGGGTTGTAAAAGTGTTCACTCTTAAATTTACATTGTGTAAAGTTGATCTTTTTAGTAAGATATCGTGGAATTTTAAACATTAAAAAAAGATATTTTACGCTTTCCTAAATTTTATATTTATTTAACCTGCGAATGTACGGAGAAACATGATTTCTATAAGGAATATTACAAGTACATCTTATACAAGAATTTTGAATCTTCTGAAGTTTCTCTCAGTTATATTTAGTAAGAGTAGTAATAAACTATAAGCACTGTTGTTGTACTTTTTAGTGTCATTTGTAAAATGTTGATGCGGTCCTAAAGAATACAATAGCCATTAAGATTCTTAATGTCATGGTACAGAAGTAATCGTAGTCTATAGAATGGAAATTTTTTACAGATAAAGGATTATTGTTCCATTCATACCTAGCCCTAGAAATAAAATGTAATTGCATTATACAATTAAACTAATACTATTCCATATACTGCAGAAAAATAGCTCTAAGTGATCTGTACTAAGTTTATATATTAACAGTTTACATATTTGTCATATAAATCTATTACAAACTTTATAAAACAAAGTCTAGAACACCACTATTCTTCTTCGGTCACTGAATAACATAACTGCTGTCAAAGGTTTTAAGTTTCTTTATACATTCTGTTGCAGCTTATATTTCAGACATCCATATAGTCTCCGTTTTTTGAGACAAAGGCATTTTCCATTGAAATCTAAAAAGATTTCGAGAATTTAGTAAATAGAACAGTTTCTCAAATTTCCTTATACAATTAATAGTTATGTTACTTAGTATTTGTAATTTCTAAATTCGTTTAAGTGTACAAACCTTCATGTCTTTCTCCAATCCATATGGGGCACTCTTAATTTGCTACCCAAACGTAAACCTTCTTTTGTTAAATATAATGCAACAATTTTATATAATTAAAATCAATAATTTCGCCATTAGTTTCGACAATTTTAGTAAGGTTATCCCAGTTATTCCAAGCCAACTTAAGTAGGTGACATGCATCTAAAATTATAAAAAATGTACTTTTATCTATGGTGAATGCAAGAAATATGGAGTCGCAGTGTCAATATCAAAGTTGTATAGGTTTACACCTAATGTTATCCATCAAATGATAATTAGGTGATGATAACTCCATATTCATGCAATTTTAGAAGAGCCTATAACGCCACATTTCTTCTTTCATTACCATCTAAACCGTTAATAAAAAATAACCAACTGGCAACTTCTATAATTCCTCGTTAGATTCTGAATTAATAATATTCGTTCAAGCTGAAGGTTGTAAATTTCTAAAAATAATAGGGATAATTAACAATTTTTTATCACTTTCTTAAAAAGTATAAAAAGAAACAAATTGATAATTTTATGTATATATTTACCTCATAACACTAATGTTATAAAAATCTTCAATTTTAGGCATATTTATGGAAGGTATTGCATTATTTTTTTATTGTATCTATTCGATTTGAAACGATTAAATCATCTTTATGACAATGGGAGGAACAAATAGCGTTATTTGCACTTATATTTTCCAATGATTTCTTCCAATAGCTATTAACCAAGAAGCATACGCCTTTTCCTCAATCTAAAAAAATTATAGTAATATCAACGTTAGATACCTACATACAGTTTGTTATTGTACTATGATATTTCGTTTTCTAGAAAATGAAACTGTGGTGAAGAATACGGTTCTGGTAGAAATGATGTCTTACTTGTGGAATGTAATGTTTTCTGAATCCTCGTTGTTTAAACAACCAAAAACAAAGCAAGTCTTTCCCATTTTATTAATTGTCTATAGTAAAAACTTCTAAAATTCTTTTAAATTCACTAAAATAGCGAATTTCGAAAGAAACCAAGAATAGTTGACATAAATGACACTTCTGTCAAAACACTACAACAACTGCGCATGTGCGTTGTACGCTTAAATTGCCAACATGGCGGCCTACATGGTGTGATTATTTTGAAACACCGGGGAAAACGGCCTTTTCCTATCTCCTCTATCCAAATCTGTGGTTTACATGATAGACATGGGTAACGCAGCGCTGCGTTGCGTTATTGCGTTAACGCAGTTGTATGCGTTACGAGCGTTGATACACCAGTTGTTATTGTATCAGCGCAACGCAATTTTCGATACTGAGTCGAAAGGATCGCGAGTTGTTGGTGCGCCATGCGCCAGGCACTGATTGCGTTTTCCGTGACGAGTTGAGAATTTTAATTTACGTAATTGATGCAACTCGTAATGCAGATTACCCAAAATCTTTCAAGTAATTATGTTCTTTGCAACATGTCACATCATTTGTAGGATTGTAGGTCGAATTTTATGAATTTTAATCTTGTACATTGTCAATTTTTAGTTCTTTTCAATTTGATTGGCTACTAGTATACAAAATTTATATTCTTTTTATATAAATTGGAATTTTTGTATTTTTTGTAAAATCCGAACACAATGAAATAAAAAAAATGAGTGCATTATACACTGTTATATTTTCGTTTATTTTTAAACATATAATAAAAAAAATTTAGTTAAATTCCCAATTGCGTTATTGCCTTGAACAAAAGACAGCCCGCGCTGTATAACACCGGTATCATGCGATACACCGAGGTGCATCGACTTCATTCGGCGCAGGCTGTGGTGTGACGCAATAACGCAATTGCGTTAACGCAATGAGTTGGCGCAATAGAGTGCGCCGGAGTTAGTGTATCAACGCAAAGAATTTTAGTGCGTTACCCATGTCTATTAC